TTGATTTTTTAATTGAAAGAAGTGGATGGCTAATTTCAATTAAGCTACACTAAATTAAATTGAGGTAAATTTAGTAAAATTATGTGAAGTAATTAAAATTTAATTGATTTAATTGTTATACTAATTGTGCAATTAAGTGAGTTTCTCTTATTTACGATTTACCATACATAAGAGCAATTAGCAAAATACGCAATTAGTTTTTAAGTGACTATCATCATCATCAATTCTTGTAACTCTCACTGGAGCATGGGGTTTCGACAAACAATTTACAATGCATTGACTTAAAAGTGAAAATGTAACGATGGAAAGTTTATTCAAAGGAGAAGAAAATCGTGTTTTTAATGAAAATCAAAAATGAATCATCAAAAAATAAATAAAATAAAGGAGCTGGAAAAAGCCGAAAAAAATTTAGTTTGTTGTTATGCTGTGAAGAGCAATTTGCAGTTGGCCTTCAGTTGCTGGTTACTCTATTTTTGCTCGTACGATATTTCTACTATGCATACTTAAGCTGTTAGTAATTTAGTCGGTTGAATAAAATTGATGCAACTCAAAGTTTAATTGACTCAATTTAAGTAAATTTAGTTCAATTTATTTAAAACACTTAATTGAATTGCATTTATTTTTAAATAAATTGCTTAAAAATTAGAGAAAAAATATTTTTTCAAAAATAATTAATTTTCAGTATTTTTAACCGATTTTTCTTTCTCACATAATTTGTAGGAAAATCAGTTCGAATTTATATTTTTAGAAATAATTTATTCAAGCTGGCAAATAACACAGTTAAGTCCCCCAATATACATATTTAGCATCACTAATTGAACGTTACCTATTTTAGGAACCAGCATTATGATAATCAAATACTCTTTATTAAGTGCCTCAGCGCCTAAGCGGTTGCAAAAACTTCCAGCTGAATTTGTGAGTTTCGTTGCTTGGCTTTTTCTTAAGACTTTGCAAAATTTCGCTTCTATTTACTTATAATTTCTATTACTGGTAAAATCTCCTTTAAAGTCACTGCATTCAAGTGTGGCACTTGAGTTTTACAAATTTGGCGTTGAGCGGCGTGTTTTCGGCGTACTTTTAAATTAATTTCTAAATAATCTTAAATATAAATACTCGTATAAATACAATCAAGTGGTTCAAAAAATTATTATTATAAAAAATATTATGGACAGTGATTTTTGTGCGTTTATTTTTATTATTATGTCTATATGACAATTCTCGTCATCGCTTAAATTTTTTTTTCACTACTTCGTTTTTATTAGTTTTGACGCAATCCTCCGGTTTAAGCTCACTTAACTTTAATTTCACATTTTTTCTATCGCTGTTGTTGTTGCTACACAATTAATTTTTATTATCGCTTTGGGTGCTTGTTTCGCATGAAGTGGACACTTAAAAGTGCTGCTCGCCATAAAATTTACCAAAACAACTGCGAAAAAGTGAAAATATAATAATTTTTGTTTCCGAAACTATTATTTGCTGTTTGCGGTAACAACAACAAAAAATAATCGGGCTTTTTTTTTTGAAACGCACTCTTCTTTGCTTAAGCCGCTTTTTCTTTAAATTTATAAAGCAATTAGCAAGAACATCAAAGAAATTTATTTCGGCATGCATTTTTGATTACTTGATAGTTGGTTGTTGTAGTTGTTTGTGGCAATTTTTAGCTGCATAATTTAGAATTGCATTCGAGAAACAGATTCACGGTCAGTAGATGTTGTTGTTGTTTGGGTAATGCGTCACTAGTTTATCTTAAACGAAACGGGTTTCGAATAGTGCAACTTTAACATATATGCTTTAAATATATTGCTTTGATAAAAAAAACACTCATCAAAAAGATAAACAAAAAATCAGAAATCTGTTCAGAAATCTTATAGATTTTATGTAATATTTATGGTTTTTAAAAACACACTGAATTGGAAAAATTAATTTTTATAATAAAAGTATTTAAATAATAAAAAACAAAAACAAAAGTTATAAAAAGATATCAAAATTTTATTAAAAAATTGAGATTATGATGCATTTTGAAACTTTCTTGCTTTTTATTTATTTTTTATGTGATTATATACAGATTTAGAGAAAGTGTGCATAACTACCCAGGGAAAAAATATGTTTTAGTGGATAGAATTAAAAAAAGAAATTAAAATTTCTTAACAAAAAATTTTGAAGTATAAGAAATCAAACAAATTATGTTTATTTAAAAAATATTTAAGAATTTAACAAAAAAATTTTAAGTATAAGAAATCAAAAAAAAAGTTATGTTTATTTAAAAAATATTTAGGAGTATAATAAATTGGAGCTGATAAAATTTGTTATAATAATATAAGTATATAAAATAATAAAAAATAAAAACAAAATGAATGAAATCAAAATTTTAAAATTTTATAAAAAAATATAGAAAATTGAGAAAATTACGTATTTTGAAAAATTCTTCATCACTTCATAATAATTTTTTTTTTTAGATCTTATTCATTTATATATAGTACAACTTAACGGATAATATTAAAAAAAAACAATTAAAAGCTGAAAAAAAATTAAAATATCAAAAATTAAAAAACAAATTTTTAAGTTATTTTTTTTTATGAAATATCAATGAAGAAAATTTTAAAAATTTTCTTACTTTTTAATTTTTTTTTTAATTTGTGATTTACAAATTTAATTGTAAGAAATAAAAAAAATTTTATATATAAATTTATCTAACTTATACTGAATAGTATACTTGATTAATTTAATATTATTAAAGTTTTATTTAAAAAAATATCATTGAAGACAATTTTTAAAATTAAAAAAAAAATGTTGTTTATTGTTTGTAAATTTTCCTTCTGGGTGTTAAAAAGTTCGTGGCAAACCTAATCTACACTGCAGAGGGTATAATGAAATTGGCATTAGTAAGAACTGGTTTTGGCTGGCGCAAAAGAGTTACGGAAATATCTGATTAGGTATATGTATTACGTTTTGTATATATTTTCTTATAGATCAATTGCGTTGATTAAGATGTTATAGCTGCTCAGTTAGCTGAATACTTTCAGCTTTAAAGTTAAAAAAAAATAATTAAACAAAAATTACCCTAAGCAAAAAAAAAAAAGTAAAAATCATAATAAACATGCAAAAGTCACAAAATTTGTAGCGCTCATAATGCATACGGAAGTGAAATTACGTGGTTTCGGCATTTGAGCGTGTAATAAATCAGATAGTGGGTGAAAAACGAGCGACAAAGCAAGAAAAAAAGTATTAGAAATCGGAATTAAGCTGACAATCAAAACAAATCATAAATCAGAAGTGGCAGGCGAACGCTGGTAGGTTGGCATGCTTGTGCATACAGAGCACATATAGCGTACTTAGTTAAATTCTTTTGGTGAAAGGCGCGCCGCTTTTTGGCTATGCAGCGCCACCATATTTGGTTACCGAATTTGTGCTTGCTGTTATATATACACTAAAAATAATTTTTGCATTTCACTTTTCTAAAATGTACGCCAGCTTATTTTACTAAACCTTATTTGCAGTTTTTTACATTTTCTTATCACAAAAGTCCTACGCTCCAATCGTAGTTAAAGGAAATACTATTATTACAGTGGATAATATAATATTGTTCGCTAAGACAAGCCAGGAAAGATATATTATATATATCTTTGTATATTTTCACATTTCTGCATTAATTATCGGTTGTGAAAACGGTATTGTTTCGCTTATGTATGTAAAATATAATCACTCTGAATAAATTAAAAAAAAAAAAAAAGCAATATTTTCTGAATTATTTGAGATTTTTTCTATTTTTACAAGCAGCGAATATTTTAAGATAATTTTTAAAAGGCAGTAAAAATATTATATATTAACTTAGCTACCTTTTTCTCGCAATATATTAGCAAAAACTTTGTTTTCAAAATCTGTAAAACTAAAATTAAGCTTTTTTTGAGGTTATACAAAATACACTGCTTTAGACCATTAAAGCCTACTGACTTAAAAAAAAAATTTTAATTGTTATTTGAAAATTTTTTATTGAAAATTAGAGGGTTTTTTCAATTTTAAGTCGAAATAAGGTTTTCTGCTTAATGTTTTAAATGAATAAATGAAATGCATAAAATGAATGAAAAAACTTGGTTATTTGAATTTTTCCCATACATTTTCAGGTTATGTGAAATTTTTTATAGAAGATAAAAATAAAAAACCAAAAACTTGGTTATTTAAATTGTTCACATATATTTTGGGGTTATGTGAAAAAAGTCTATATACAAAAGTTATAGATCTTTTTATTACCTAAACCATTGCCATATAACTAGTTTTGCCTGAAATCGAGATAAACTATTCTAACCTTTTAAAAATTCAGCACCGCCACTACTCTTCCTTTCCCGACCACAAAACGACCGTAAATTATTTTCCCTTAATCTTTGCTATTTTATATCTCTTTCGTTTCCGATGAGTTTCAATCTACTACGAATTTCTTTATTTTCAAAAATTACTAGCCTAGTCTATTTACTAAAAAAAATTGAAAAAAAGTTCTCAAAATCGTAGTAAATTCTGGATAAATGAAAACAATTTCAAATTTCGAAAAATTTCTCTGCTGCATGTAATTATTATGAATAATATTGTTTTTAAACCAAAAATAAATATTTTCCAAAAATTCGCTTTATTTTGATTTTTATTTTTATTTCTGACCAACAAAGTATAATTTTTTTTTGAATTATAAAATAAAGTATATAAAAAGCTACGATATTAAAAAACAACAATATGAGTTTATGTGAATTCGTTCTCATTTTTTTCCAAACACCTAACGAAAAAAAAATATATAACGTGAAATTGAGCAAAAATTAAGAATTTTGCGAAAAAATGGCCAAGTCTATATTCGTCTAGGCCTACCCATAAATTTACCTCCGAACAACACTTTCAATGTACACTTCATTAAAAAAAAAATTTATTTAGAAAAAAAATTAATGACGCAAAAATCACTGTCCTTTGAGTGGCGAAAAGGCACCGCAAATATGCAAACTCATAAATATCGCTGAACTCACCATTCGTTGCGGGCGAAGACATGCCTTCGCAGATCATAACTTAGTAGACGCAGTCGGTGTGTTGATGCAGAAAACAAATCTGCTACGCTTTCAATACAGGCGGCACTCTTTGACGTAGCGTACGCCGACGTTCACAGGCACATTAGCGAAGCGGAGGAGGTGATTTCACCAAAATACTGGTATTTTGTTTGAAGTAAGCAAGGAAATGGTCGCAAAGTCAACGCACGCAATCGTTCAATACAGCGCTGTTGCTGGCAGTTGGGCGCTGCAGGCAGTTTATAGGCTAGAGTTGGAGTTTCGTTTCGTTGTCGGCGTATTTGGAGCTGCTATGCCTAGCTGCGCTGCTGGTACGACTGCAATTGTTGTTATTGTTGTTCACACGTGCTGCACTACAATGCTAATTGCGGCGATAGCACAGCATTTTCCACGCTCTAGCGGCTAGTGTGTCCAATATTGCGACAAGCGCTGTACACATTGATTTTTTGTTGGGTATTGAACAGCGCTGGACAGAGTGGCGGCTAAGTCCAAGCGGTGTGTAACTTGCAATTGTGTGTGTGTGTGTCAACGAAGAACTGGACTTTTTTCAAGCGCTAAGCCGTAAGAAGTTTGGCAACAACAAAATGCATGGCGAAAATAAAGCACTGTTAAAGCGGTGCAATACAAAAACAAACGCTTGTTGGAAAAGTGCAGTTCATTGGAATTTCTAGCACTTTTTGCTTAAGGTAAATGAACCCTTGAACTTTAAACTTACACCCTTGAAGCAATCTATTTGATTTTTAGTAATTATTTTTTTTTTTAATTTTTTTTTTTTTTTTATTCCTCAATTTGAAAATTTGGCACCTTTTCTAAGCATTTGACTTGGGTTCCAAACACTTTGAAATCAATTTATATTTAGCGAAAAGAGACTATACTTTGGAGTTACCGTTGCAACGACAGTAAAAAGTGTACGAAGTAAACTTTTACAAAAACAATATGTGCACAAATGTTTTCACTTTCACGAATTTCGTGTTATTTTAGCGACCAAAAAATTAGCAGAAAAACAAGAAGTCACAAGACAAATACATAACATATTTTGCTCACAAAAAGGGACGTCCCAGTCGTTTGTAGAAAAGCATTTAGTAACCACAAATTAGCAAATGTTTAGTCACTGTGACATTTCACCAAATCGAAAAATAATATAAATAATTTTAAATAAATAAAGTAAAATCGCCTAATCGGAAAGAAAGTATGGTTTCTTCGTTGTCACAACGCGCGCGCACCCAGCTACTGTGATTTCGTATCGACGACCGAACCAAGGGATAGACGAGCAGAAAGCGACCGTCGCTGGCGAAGATTTTGCTTAGACTGAAACGTACAGTGCAAATCGAAGTGAACGCCACCACCAGCATACGGCATAGACGACCGGATTTGGTTGACGACTGGCTGGAGTCTGTCGTGTAAGTGCCAAAATCATGGCCCCACCAACACACATGCACGCATACAGGCACACACACAAGCACATGTTCGCCTCGCGCGCGCAATAACAAAACAAAAACCTAGCGAATAGTACACAAATGAGAAGGTGTGCGGAGAGGCGGCCAAAGGCAAAAAGAGGCAGCCAAGTAGTGAAGCAATAAATACGCCAACCAACAGTTAATGGCGAAAGTCAGGCACAAAGCGTTATGCAGAAAAATGCCAATGTTCACAGTGTTACACCCGCTTGCATGGTCTCTAGCAAAAGCAATTCGACTTCGCTGCCGTTATTATGTCTCCCTTCGCTCACACATACAATTTCAGTTTATTGGTCGGCATTTTCACTTTTCTCGTTGCTTTGCGTGTGCTCGTTTACGTACCGGTTGAGCAAAACACGGAAACAGCGTTAAAAATGCGGCGAAAAGCGCACGAGTGGAGATGCGTGCTTCAACCGTGACGTAACGTGTGGAGGGACAGCGCGCGCTTGGCATGAGTGCAGCGAGCGTTGTGCATAGCTGTGCGTGTAACAGGTGGTTTGCTGCTCAACACGCGCGTGCAAATAGCCGGAGAGCGCGTTAACAGCGCTGTGGAGCCAGAGAATGTTAATGAATATAATAAATTTTATCAACATTCGCTGATGGAGCTGCTCTCGTAGTTGCCGATTTTGAATTTTGCTCTGTGTGTGGCTCAAAGCTTTTCTGTTTACGCTTGAAAGCTCTGAAACAGCTGTTTGACAAGAATTGTTTACAGTGGAGCTGAAGATAACTGGATAATGCTTTAATTACCTTCTAAATATTTTTAAAATGAAATGGTTTTTATTTTGATAAGGTAGAGATATTTATAATAGTTTTATACTGGATATATATAAAAGAGAGCACGACTATTTTATAAAGCGTCATTCCGCGTTTGAATTTTGCAACGCATTATGAGAGCTTTGTAATTTTATTATGCAAGTTCTGATTTATTTCTATGTTAAAGAAATATAATCACGACCAAATCTTTAGTTAATTTTATCCTCCGGTAGCAAGGTAAAAGTTCCAGTTGGTACTGACTGTTGCTACAAGCGAAAATAGAAATATTTCTCTACATTAGAAAAATCAAGTGTGGAAAAAGTTAGTATCATCTGGAACTACAAATTAGCACTAGCATGCGAATCTATAATACTTGAGTTTGGTCAACCAAACACAAGGGAAAAATTAGTTTTTGGTCATAATCTCTTATGCACTTTCAGAAACTGAACGAAGCTTCAGATCACTTATAATAATGTGGATAATAGAACAAGCCAAGTTAAGTAGCATTGGCATGAAATATTCAGTTTCACTTAGCATAATGTAACTTAAGAGAAAAATCTCTGCGACTCTTAACACAATTGGGTCTGAAAAAAGAAAGCAAGAACAAAGCATACTAGGCTCCATCCACAAAGAAAATAAATTGTTTAAATAAAAAAAAAAACCAAGGGCAAAATTGCGGCTCTTTCAGATCAACTATAATTTAAAAACGAATCGAAATGGTAATTTTTGGTAATATTATATATAGCGAGAGCGAGAGAGAGAGAGAAATTATTTGACTTTAAAAACTGCTCCAATCTGAACAGCGAGAAGTTTGGGAAAATAAACTAGCTTTTTGTTTAAATTACAGACTAAATTATGCTCTTGAACAAGAAAATTTCAAAATTAAGATTTTAATGTTTCAAATTTCGAGGTATAAAATATATGTAGTAAATAGCGTGATGTAACAAATTTCTAGCTCGCGTGTTTGGAATACAAATTCAATTACAAACATTTACAATAATTCATCTACGATAAGGTCCAAGCAATTACAGGAATAATTTAAATTCCGAACATTGATATATCACGCGCTTGCAATCTTATAAATACATAAAAATGAGGAGTGAGGTGTTTCAATACAATTTAATGAAACTATATAGCAGTAAAACAGATCCGCAAAAATTTAAATTCACTTTCGAAACCTCCTACATTATTTACTTACATATACATTTGTATTAAATCGAAAGTATTTCAATTATTTGCAGTTTTGTGCTTTTTATACCGAACTGAATTCCAAATTTTGTGCAAAACAAATGTAGAGCACACAAAAAATGTGTCTTGCATACGCAATGCTCACTTAAGCGCCAGGCGCACCAACAAATTTTTTTTAACTATAGCGAATTCTCTGCACTTACCGACCGTCCCTCATCGAAGGCATCGCGCATCGAATAACCGCCGCGGCGTCCCATTTTTCTGCGCACTTTCCTTTTGGGCGGCGACGCACTGCTGCTGCGCGTCGGAAAGAGATCCTCCTCACTACTGCTGCCGCTCACACTGATGCTCAGATAGTTATTGTTGTTTTTACTGTTGACACTCGCGCCTACTTCGGGATCACCTTGTTGTAATGCGGTGTAGTTAACCGACTGAAAGCGATTGAAGCGTGGACCAAAGGTGCCGAGTATACCACCAGCGCCACCGGCACTGCCACCTGCTTTTGCTGTTGGTGTTCGCTTATTGCGCGCCACACCGACACCGGGTCGTCGCGTGTGCTGTTGCGTGCTGCTGCTTTTTGCTGCTGTCACTTTATCTGCTCGAGAACTGGCGTGTGTGTGCGGTATCTCCAATCGGGTACTCATCACTGTTTCAAATTACAATTAGTGTACGTGGAGCATGCGCGTTTCACTTGAACGAGGAAACTTCGTTGTTTAATTTTTTTCGAGTGCTTGTTTAATTGTTAATTTACTTAGGTGCGAATGTTTTTGAGATTAAATGAGATCTGAAATATGAGAAATATAGAAAGTATATTATTATTTTAACATATACAAGATATTTTAGATTAAATCATAGTGAGAAACAAAATTATATTTTTTAATTACATTTCAAGGATGCTTTTTGGCATTCATTATAAATTTTTAGAGATTTTCAGCATAAATATGACTCAGCTTACTTTTTGTTGTTTGATTAAAAATTAAAATAATTTAGTAACAGCGCCTATTTTTTTGATCTCAGGACTTATATCAACATCTATGTTGTAAAACCGAGGTTTGCTTAGTTTCAGCCTGGGGGACTTTTTTCTATCTTTCGAAGCCATAAAATAAAATAAAAATTTCAAGCATGATCAGATTTATATTATCATTATAGAATAAAGAAAATATATCTAAAATTTCATATGTGAGCTATCCCCAACAAAAAGTTAACCCTTAAAAGTACCAGTTGGTACTTTCGGGTAATAATGAAGCTTTTTTGACGACAACACCTCATATAATATTAGAGATCCCTATTTATAAATAGTTTTCCTCAAGTAAAGCGCCCTCAAACTCTTGTTAGACCGGTGCATGGTTCTTCTCTTTCATGCTATGGTTTGCAGAAGATTACTAAATCTGTCAGTTATTTTGCTTGAGTAGTATTGCTTCTGTAAGTGTCTCTATGTAATGTCTATTACAGAACTGTCCTTAATACCACTGCAGATGTTAACGAAAACAATAATATTTTTTTTCTTTCAAAACGAGCAATATTAGTTCGTTGCTCCAAACTTTTCTGCAAGAAATATATATTACAGGTTACCTGTCCGTTATCGGCTCTTCACTGTCGCTCAAGTAAAGAATTGCAAACTGAATTTAACTTCGGAAATTCAAAAGTTGTCAGACTCGTACCTTTCCATACACAAACCAATGAGTGGGTACACATATGCCCATTAACAACAATATTAAATCGCATTTATCATACACTTGTAGGCAAGTACCTTCGTGAGCCTTTCACTGACGAAGGAAGGTATGTTTACATACACACATTCGCCCAAAAGAGAGCATAATATATCCATATAAAAGCAGGGCAATCCAAAAACTAAAACCAGTTGGCTTAATTTCACTCTGTGCAAAGGGAAAGAATACCGCAAAAATGCCTGAAAAGCGATAAAGATGCGAGCCATCAAAGATTCTGCTGCTTAATGGCGTTTGAGGTCTCCTTTGGCAGAGTCAATGACATTTTCGGAAATAGGAAGCATCTTTGAGTTATGCATAACGTCTATAGTGGAACCTTCTACTAGAAATGACTCTCGGAAAAATTTTTTGTAGTTTAGCTCTAACAATAAGTAAACGCAAAACGCACAAGTCTTAGCCGACTTAGACTTTTTATTCATTGGATAATTAGTTTGCCGAATGTTTTATATCTCGGTCCATCCAAACCTCTGTATACGCTAATCATTGCAGACAGGTGTGGAACGATTAAACTAAGGCACCTAACACCTGCCACATTACCTGACATCAACTCTCTCATCAATAAGATGATCCGAAAAACTTGAATACAAGCAAATTAAGCATTTGACCATGAATTTGGTGGATATTTGGTATTTGAAAAACACCATTGCCTTGCTTAGACTGATTTGGGGTAGTTAAAAGCAGACTGGATTTATAGGTGTAAAAAATGTTTGAACCAAACTTTACACGAATCTCTTATCTCAAAGTAAAGAAGATAGTTGTGTTTACCTTTTCCGAATTTGATGTCAAGTTCGGTCTCGAGAAAACTTCAATATTCATATTAATGTTTTAAAATTTCTCTCAGTGTATTAGAACATTGTTTTGTTAGCTCGACTAACGTCAGCCAAGCGTAAAACCTATTAGCATAAACTAGCCATTTGCACCGCATGCCAGCCACACAAGCTGGACGCATAAGCGACAATGTTACACAGAGAGATATACAAACACACTCGTGTGTAGGTGCGCATACGTCTGCAATGCCATCAGAGCAGCTGAGGAACAACAACACAACAAAAGCAATAAGGTATCAGCATGTAAGCAGCAACATTGAAAGCCAGCAATCAGCGCCACGAACAAACAAACCAACAAGCCGCTAACTCAACTAAACTTGACTCGAAAGATTTGTGGCTGACCAACTAACTAACTAACCACGCGCCTGGCTACATGACTAACAAAGTAAATAACTAAAAGCTAAATAAATAGCTGAGAACGCAAGCAAGCACACGCAGCAAAGAAAGAGTCACAGAGACTTTCTTTGAGCGCTCGCATATTTATGCGCATGTGTAAAGTGTTCTAAGCGCTGATGGGCAGCCGAGGAGACCATATATAAATAAGCGCTCGCATATGTGCATATGTGGAGACGAGTTGACGCAGCCACAGACGCTGCTGATATACGTAATGCAGATGATGATGATGAGCGCGCAGAAGCTATTGGCGACGAAAGTGCTGCAAAGTTGCGGAATCTCAAAGCCACGGCCAAGACAGTAGCTAATCGTACGTGAAACAAGTGCAAAAATTTGCTTGTAGTTGGTAGGGAGCGGTGGTGCGCGTGTGTGGTGAGCTTGTTAGTTGTGGCTTGTCGATCGCTTGCAGTTTTGCCTCTTTTGCAGATCAATTACAAAACAATGTGTGCGGAATTGGAAAAACGTCGCCAACAATGCCAGCGTCGACGGCAATGCCATTGCCAATAATAATAACAGTAACAACAACAATAACAGCAACAACAACAATGGCAGCAGCAGCAGCAGCTAACATGGGAAGCGCCATTGGCAGCGCACGCGGCCGCAGCCATGGCGTATCGAACACCAAACCCCACAGTCAGTATCTTTTAAGACTTTCGCGCGAAATGTTGTGCCGGTGATAGCAGCTGTAGCTCAAAGAAATACACAAATATATTTATATGTATATTGAAAACAGAATACTAAAAGTAAAGTAAAATATTTCAGTAAACGCGCCTTCAGTGAACGTGCGCAGGCGTAAAAGGGTGCGCGTGTTTCGTAAGTGGTTTTAAAGCGACGTGATTAAAATAAAAAAGGCTGTTTGTGGCTTCAAGAAAAAAAAAAAATACAAAAACTAACGCCCTGTCGAAATAAAATTTTTTTTATGCGCATGTGTGTGTTCGCCCATAAATAGCAGTGTTTTAATTTTACTTTTTTAAACAAAACTCATGTATTTAAAAAACTCACGCGCTTTTACCGTTAAAAAGTGTGCCAATAAAACAGCAACAATACAATAAATTTCAAAAAAAAATATATTTTATTTTATCTCTTCGATTTATCTGCCCGCTACGACACATTTTGCGTGTTTTTTTTATTTTTATTTATTTTTTCTGTTCCTATCATCTGTGAAATTGGGTTAATACAAATAATTACACACACAGCACATAATTTTGGTGTTTTTAAAACGTTTTAGGCCAGTAAAACTCACATTTAAATAAATTATTGCGTCTATACAAAGTGTCGTCAGTCTGCCGCTTCATTTGTTCGTGAGTGCAGCGTGTGATATATGACAGTCAAATACAGAATCTCAATATGCAAATAGTTTTGTTTGGTCACAAAGGCTTTTCCAATAGACAAAATGTTGTGGTAACAATTTGAAAAATAATAGCTTGCAGCGCTCATAACAAGAAAGTGGAGTTCATTGGGCTTAATAAATGTTTTGTGTAAAGAATTACATAAAAAGAAAAATGGTTGATGCAATCAACGCAGCATTAGTTAGAATTTAGGCCGCGGCGAAGTTAAAAAGTTGACTTAAGCTTTTTGTTTTGTGTTCAGTGAATGGAGATTTGAATTCTATGTTTAGAGTCTATGTATGCAGCTTCAGTTAGAGTTTAGGCAGCGGCGAAGTTAAAAGGTTGAACCAACTGCCTTTTTTAAGTTCTTTTTTGTTTTGAGTTGAAAGATTGGAGATTTGAGTTCTATGTTTAAGGTCTATGCATATTATAGTTCTAATTTACTTTTAGGCTTTAATTATTCAATAAAAAAATCTATCTGAATCTTATCTTAAAGCTTTAACTGCTAATTTTAAATAGCGCTTTCTAGAAAACATGCTTTTCAAATTGCCGTAAAGGATTACGGAAGTAGTAATGAACACATTTTGTACATTAAGCTATTTTTAAGACCATAAAAACCATTAGATATACTAAAGACCACAAAAAAATTTACCAGACCAAAAAAAAAATTTTTTTTTAAGTTTAATTTTCATGGTTAACGTTCGAATTTCGAAGATCCTAGTCTATCTAGAATAAAGAACACTTCGCTAGTAAAATAATATGCACCGTTTTAATTTTCCCAAAAATAAATATCGAAAAAGCTTTTTTCGGCCTCTACGGCTACTTTCTCTCTTAAGTGGCTTCTAATTTTTTTTAATAGTCGAATCGTTCTTAGGAATGCTAATAATTTGTCAATATTTTAGTGAAGTCGCGAGCATTGTTGCAACAAATTGCTTGAGTGTTGCTGAAGGCCTATTCAATACTTAAAAAATCTCAGATATTTTTACTGGTCGGCTCTTAGATAAGGCAAAAAAACAGTTGCCAGTTATAAAACTCTCTTTTGAAATGAAAAATTGGGAAACATTTAAGGAAGAACCACGTTTTTATAATCTTAAGCTGTCATTAATCTCTATTAATAGGTTTTTTCACACATTTTTGATAAGGATTTTTTCCAACTCGACTAATAGTCAATTTAGTCAATCTCCCTATAGAAAACCATAATTTAAAATTTTGTGTAATAATGTATCGTCTAGCTAATATCTTCATTATTTTTGCTATAACTCTATCACTAGATTATTGACAATAGATAAATCGGGTACAAGGAGCTGCTTACTTTCATAAGGGATGAGGATAGCAATAGGTTGATTAATGCTATGAAATCGTATATGGATATGAAAATTTATATGAACTGACTAAACCTCTTATTTGAAGCTCGTTGAAACAGCATGTTTTTTGGAACTTCCATTAGATGAAGTCGTTGAAAATAGCTAGCTAACCTGCTACCAAACACGGCTTTCATAACTGCTACAGCAAAACCAATAGTAAAATTAGATAGGATTGATTTCTTTATAAAAAGATTGAATAGAATTTAAAGAACTTATGGAGAAAAATTTATGAAAACGAACTGTTACACCAATAATGATTAGAAAGCTCGTACGAATATTAATTAAAAAGCCGAGACAACTAAAAAGTCCAAACATATTTTGTAGAAAAATTTTTTTTTAGAAAATTTCCACGTATGAAAAAACTTATTGGTTTTTTCAGTGCAGAACAATAATGATACTATATATATACTATAAACTAATAATAATAAAAGAACGGTAATTCTGTTAAGCACCGATCTAATTTGAAACTGTAAAAATATATTTTAGTACTTAACTGGCTAAAAGTCATAGTCGGCGAAACAAGTAAATAAGGCATAAACTAATTCGCGCGCTGTGAAGTGCATACAAATCAACAGTTATTCGCATGTCTTGCCACAATTAGTGGTATACAACACAGGCCGAACTGCGGCAATAATAACAAGAAAACCGTTTGAAGTGAAGTAAATTGCAGAATGCAAAAAAACTGCAACGAAAACACTTAAAAAGTTACAATACAAAAACAACAAAATTAACATTGCACAGCATTGCCAACGAGTTGAAAAAAATATCAAGTGCAACAACAATAATAATAATATAAGCCAGCGGCTTAGCACATCACTTGCGCATATTAAGTGCATTTAAACGCAACTAAACACTTCTAATTGCATAATCATTAATACATAAATACACATCTAAACGTGCCACTGAGTTTCGGTGTGTGCGCGTCACATCCCTGCATGTGTTGCATGTAGCAAAATGCTCAAAATGTGCCACTTACGCCAATCGCAATTTATTCTAATAATAATTTCCTGCCTACTGTTGAACGTCACAACAACAGCAACAACAACGATAGACATAACGACAGCGGCCTTAAAAAATGGCAAAACAACACCACTCGATGTTGTTGCAATAGCAGGCGCATCGCCCACCGTCGGCCGTTCCATCGTGATTCCCGGAAAATATCATGCCTACACACAGCATGCGCAGCAGCCGAAGAAGCTGCATGTGTCGGCCATAGCAGCGCAGAAACCGCTGTCGCAGCAGCAAGCGTCAAAACAACAGCAAAAACACTATCAGGAACAGCAGCAGCAGCAGCGGCAACAACGTGTGGACGCTGTCAAACCTGTCGCAGTTCCCAGCAGCAAGCTGAATCCTATCAGAAATTGGTTTGGCATATTTAATCGGAACAACGCACAGGCGACAGCGGCCGCCGCGACGGCGCATGACACGACGACAACAACAACATGCAATTGCAGGTATGTACATACCATAGCTATGTGTGTGTGTGTGTGCCCGCGTACGTGCTGTCATTAATACACTTAGCAGCATATATTTAAACGGAATTATTTTATGCATGCATGTATGTGTAAGTGCATATATGGCACAAGTTAACCGACAAGCCAAACAAGCGACATGCCAACACTTATTTATCCCAACGCTAGCAAATTGGCAACTCACGCTTGCCTCTTGCTTCATGTTGGCTTCTTGCAGGAAGTCTTCTATTTTGTTCTGCTGTTGTTGCATATTTTTGTATTATCGTCACCATCAAGTTATCAGCATCATCATCATTCTGAACGCAATCAGCTGCACGACAGCTTTGTCTTTGTCATTTTTGAGTACAGCACTCTGTTGCACATGCAATATAACTGTTACGCGTTTTAAATGCCAATGCACCACCTCAATTGTCCAGATGTGCATGCTCCGATATACATACGTATTCACTTATTTATTGCTCAAGCAAAGACACTACTCGTTGGCTGCCAGGAAGCGGATTTCTGACATAACTTCTTAATGACGTGTGTCAATAAAAATTGTTAAATTGTTGTATAACTGTTAAGTATGCTAGGAATTGACAGTTATAATTGCTGATCCACTTCCATATATTCGACTGGGTTTTGCTGGAAAGCGTTATTAAAGGAAGTGGAAGAAGTGAATTTGTAGCGAGAAATTTTAACGAAGCATTCACCACATTTTTAAAAATATTTTATGCTTCTGAGATCCAAGAAATCGCGTTTTATTTTATTTATATATTCAAATAGATTCATGTTTCGAGAAATCGCTCTGGAAATTTCGAGCTGAAATCTGTTTAATTACGAAAGTAATCGGCCGTTTGGTTGAGCGAGGTCAAGCGCGCTTGTCTGCCGTGTGCTGGCGTAAGCGCGTTTTTCGAGTTGGTGGAAGTCCTACAGCACGCAAAATTGAGTAATCGCCATGAAAGTTTTAACACGTGTTAATAAGGAGTTTGTGCATCCGTAGTACTAGAGCTTGCCAAAAATATTGAATATTGTTCCTTTAAAAAAACTTTTAGAAACAAAACAATATCCAAACTCGATTTTTTTTTCTAAAGCAAATAATTTTTGCAATATTTAATGCTTTTCCTTCGTTCAAGCATTTCGGATATGGAAAAGTGTACGGATTAAGAAAATATGCTTTCTGTTTTAATTTACGAACGCTAGGACTTCCACTATGAGCACGAGTCGCAGCCGACCCACCGCCATTGTTCGGTAGCTTCCTCCCCCGTCTTTGCTTAAAACACGAAAAAAAAATGTGGAAAACGGTTGGCCTCAAGGGCCATCCCTGCAACTTCCCTCTAATTTCATACGCTAACGTTCAAATTTCGCTTTTTTCACTGCTTTTGAGCTCTTCGAAATTTTTCGTTTTCGATATTTAGCAAGTAAATCAACCGATTTCGACCCGGTTTGCGGCAAACGATGTGTTTCTTCAAGGTTTAGAACTGATTAGTTTTTGGTGTCGATCGGTCAAGTCGTTTGAACGATTTTTCAAAATTTTTATTTTTGAGATTTCTCGAAATCTACTGGTCCGATTAGGTCCAAACTTACACGAAATTCAAGTGCAATGAAACCCTTTGGAATGCCGTTTAGTTTATTCAAATCGGTTGAGCAGTTTAATAGTTATAAGAGGGTCACATACATCCACACACACACACATACATCCACACATACATACAGACATACGGACATCATCGTAGAAATGTTCGGGGAAGCTTCCTCGACCCTCAGAACGTCGAGATCTGTTGAGAACTCGATTTTTGCAAAATGGGGTGAAACCAATATCTTCCCGATTTTTAGAAAATTTTCCATTTTCTTAGCGGGAAGTTAAAAAAAAGGATTCAAATTCTATAAAGTTGTCAGCTCTTGGGGCGCCTGGATAGCCAGAAAGATAATATTGTTTTAGAATGTTTTGTTGATGTCAAGCCAGTTATGAAAATTTAGGTATCAGAACCTAATCTCTACTCAATATAAATGTAGTCCTCTTATAGAACACTGTGGTCATATTGACTGTTTTGAGGCTCATGAATTTCCCTGTCCTGGCAAGCTAATCTTAGTATTTATATAGGTACTTGTGGAACTTTAAAATTACTCTATTTTCCCTGTTTTACAAAAAAGTTCTCTTCTCGTTATTACATAATTCAATAACACACCATTGCAAAAGCATACTTTTAGGCGACTAAACTGTATGCTTCTTTATGATCAGATTAAGTTGCCTTTTTATGGCCTTCGTCGCGTAAAAAGTAATAAATGTATCTTCTAATATTGTTGTAGCATTTATCAATTTGTGGTTTTCTAGCGAAAGGTCTAGGCTACGAAAATTGTCTACTGGGTTTGACTAAAAATGGAGTCTTAGTTGCTAGGATTGGAAGAGGTTTACACGTTTCGGAAAAATTAAATCTTCGTACACAGTTTGTAGTGATTTTAATACCACGACTGCATTCACAAAAAGAGAGCAGTTGATAATGTTCATGAACCCTCTATGAATGATTTTACTTGTTTTTCTGATGATGCAATGTCATGCTTTTGCTTATGATCGAATACCGTGAATTTCAAGTAAGCAGTCGTTTTTGATGTTTCTGGAAGATAGCTCTACTTCAAACCGATATTTTTAGAAGTGTTTCTGTGGAAACGAATAATAATTTGAATATAACTAAAGCTTTGAGAGTATTTTGTCACTTAGCTCTTCACAATCTCAATCTTCTCATTTTTGGGCTTCATAACTTCAATTACAAATTAGTATATGTCTCAGCATGAACAACACCGTCTTCCGGTCGTGTTTGAACAATTTCGAGACCTATTCTAATTTTTGCTTCTATAATGATTTTCGCATTCAAAAATCTGTAAGTATCTCTTATCACGCCACAACCAAATTAATAGTTCATCCCGTAACCTCGATATTTATGCCCCTAAAATAGGTTATACACATTTCTTCTTACACAAGGAAGTGTCATAATAATCTTCAAAGGGAATTGTAATGAATTTTATGACAAAGTGTCTTTCACTTAGCTGAATGAGCTAACTATTTACTTTTCGAAATTCTCTACATGGCTTACGGTTTTTTCCACAGCCTACAGTGGCGGCAGTTGCATTGCTACGCGTACATGTATGTCGTGTTTTGTTTGCTCGTTAAAAGAATAATTTATGCAGCACAACAAGTGCGAAGATAAAAACTAATTTGCCCACATCACGTACTTGCGCCGACCGTCCTGGGCGAAAGCTGCAGTTCCACTTCCTGCTTGCAATGTTTGCCAAAGAAAAAGCGCACAGAATTGCATTAGAATGACAATCGGCTAAGCAAATAGTCTGCGACACCAGGACTACACACACAAACACACACATAAAAACATACAAATGTGATTGTGTTGTTGGTTTATTGTTGTTAAGCTTTATAGTTTTTCTTCACACATAACAGCGTGGTGCCTTATATTGTGAATGTTGCGCAAGTGCCACACGAGGCTTCGTGTTGCATGTGGCAAGTTGAGATGCCTCTGTGCTGTTTGTTTGTGCCCAATGACAACACGACACAAATGTTGCTCTGCAACGCATGCATGCCGTTTAGTTATTTATGCCAAAGCAATAAAATGCATAACAACAACAATAGCAGTTATACGCTGCTCGGCGCATTCTTTGTTGATCCGCCGTTGCTGACGCAGCGTCTTCTGCAACTGCAGCTTGAACTCGTTTAGCCATAATCGACTAGCGAGTGTTGGCTTCAATCGCTGGATCCATCAATTCAACTGAAGTATTACGTAAGCAATCGACTTTGATGTTCTTGTTGTTTGTATTTTTCCATAAATGTTCGATTTTTATTGCGATATGGATTTGTGTTGCATTGTTTGAGCGTTTCCGTACATTTTATTTTGCAATTGTGATTTATTTGTCGCGTTGGATAATGGTAGAAATTGGTATAAGCGTTTCTAGAATGCTTTCGAAGGTTAAAGCTGAAAGATACAGTTTATTCGCAGTATTCGCAGTATTTGCTGTAAAACTGTGACTTACTAAAACAATTGTGGTGTGGGAACCTCTAATACTCTTTAATGGTTTGAGATCCCGAAGAGTTAGTTTACCAATTCCGGTCCAGATATACCCTAGATTAAATCGCCGATATCTTGTAAAGAGGATACGTGTCAGATATTTTATATCGCAACCTAAACTTATATAGAAGAGGAGTTTAGGTTAAAGGTTAGTAGATTAGGAGATTACCACTTGGGCTGTTGAATTACCTAAAATTATAATCTTGTGATGCAAAAACTTGTATCTTATGATCAGTAGACCCTCCTTTATAGACGAAAATCTTAAAGTCAATACTAACTTTCTTGATCTTATCGCTTGCATTCTCTCAAGTTGGCGACGACATGACATCCAAGATTTTTCAATTTAAGTTAAGAGAAAGCTGGACAGTTGAGATGGAGGAGTCGAAATATTTCCAACTAATATTTCTACATAAAACATAAACGATTGAGGCCCGCTAAATTAGCAGACCTTACAACTGCAATGCAAAACGCCATTTTTGGAATTAAACTTAAAACTGAAAAATCAAATTGAACTCAAAGAATATCAACTTTGAGATTAGGTCTGACTTAACATTGTTACAAAAGTTTTTGCTACGACTTTAAATGTTTCTCCAGTCCCGTATTAGCCTAGTACAATACCAAAGATCACAGAAACAAGATTGCGCTATCGTGACGTCATAAGCGCATATAGACTGAGGGGAGGCAACATCGAAAAAAAAAATTGTATAGCTTACGATGTCATCGTTCAATTTTGTTTTTGTAGTTCTTGTTCACAACTGTCACAACCTAAACCGAAAAAAGTTAGGCTAAATACTTGGCGTAATCTTGTCTTCTAACATTCTTGGTACAATACCAATTTCAAATCTTTGTAAAAGAACTAATCAGCTGACTAAAAACACCAAGAGTTATATAAGTAGTGAGAATTTTCTCTTTAGTTATACAGACTTAAATGAGTTTACACCAAAACTAGCATTCATAGCGTGGGACAGCTGTGAGCTAAAAATTTAAATGAGAACGCCTAGTACTTAGATACAAACATTTTTCCAGTTCATTGACATTTAAACAAACGATCGAAGCAAGCTCCTGAATACACTCATTTCAATACAAAGGAGTGTAAACGATGAAAGAAGAAGAGCAATCAATAAGCTGAGGTAAAAAATACAAAACAAAACATTAGCTGACTGCGCTTGCATCGGAAGAACTGTATGTATGTATGTATATAGGGAACTTTTGGACATCATCATAAAGAGCGGTAAATTATTGATTTTTCATTTTTATAAAAAAAAAAAGCCAAATGAAACGTAAACCGGTTCCCATCGCGTTTTTTCATAGGAAAATGCTTTGGTGTGAAATGAAGACTAACAAAAAGCTCAAATGTAAAATACATTGTTTTTTTTCAAGAAGCTAAATAAGGGATACGTAAATGAACAAACAAAAAAAAGCCCGAAAAGCCCAAAATGCGTTTTCGATAATTAATTTACTTAATTTTTTACTCTTTGACACTTTTTATACTCTCGCAAATGTTGCAACAGAGAGTATAATAGTTTTGTTCACCTAACGGTTGTTTGTAACACCTAAAACTTATCGAGATAGCTATAGGGATGTGTATAGAGGCGTTAAGCTAAAATATATAAAGTGTCATAACTAAGCACAAAAAATTGTTTCAAAGTGGGCGTGGCTCCGCCCCTAAATGGTTTAATGAACATATCTTCCATACCGCTAAAACTACGATATCGTATATCAACTAAATTTACTGACTCTTTAAAAATCCCTTTAACTTGTGTACCCTGTGACAATGGGTAACATCAGTGAATAACCATGCCCACTCTCACATACACATATACACACAAGTATTAAACTTAACAACCAAGTTGGTATGAAAGGGTTTTATAGAAGCCGGCATAAAAATTGGACAATTGGCGTGGCACCGCCCACCTTTAGGTGAAATCCTATATCTCAGGAGCTACTTTACCGATTTCAACCAAATTTAGTGCCTGATGTTACGCAAATATTGCAAAAATAATGGGCGAGGTCCGATGACAACCACGCCTACTTCCCATACAACAAATTTTTAAATTCCATCTGATTTTTTCACTTTACAGTATACAAACCAAACATTACTAAAGTTATCAAACAAGTTAAAATAAGTTAAAACTTTGCCCAAACAATGCCCTTAAAGTACAAGTATTTCATCTAGCGCTCAAAAACTGTCGAAATCGAACTATTACTTTTCAAGGACCCACGCACCAAATATGTGAAACCCAATGCATATGACGGCTTTTTTTACTGAACATATCGGTCAAACTGTGAAATCTAGTTTTGAAATTTGAGGAGTATATTTTTGTTATGACAGCATGCGCTTGTGTCCAAAATGAATAAAATTAGGTAAATACTTCCCCTAGTATAAATATTTTCGAATTTCTGCATCTATTGGTCAATATGTAAGAAACCTTAATTGAAAATCAGAAAAAAAATCTCTCTCTAATAATAGTGTATTCTGAATGAAAGCAGGTCAAAAGTTTAACTAGTCGCCATATACCTAATTTTCGCATTTTCAAACATGCGCTTGACTTTACACCTCATAACTATATTGGTCAATGTGTGAGAATTTTTATTTTGCAAATTGCGAGAGTATAGAATTTGCGGTTACACCCGAACTTAGCACATTCTTATTTGTTTTAGTTCTTTGCTTTACATAATTAATTCAATTTGTGGCTTTTGTTTTGAAAGTTGCGCCGCAGCAATATGGATACAACCAAGGCGTGAAACCAGTTTCAAAAACAATTTCGACGCAACAACTTGTTATTAATATATGCAATAAAAGATAGTATAAGAGTCAAAGTGTGAACAACAAAGCAGCTTTGATAAAGTGTAGAATAACGGGCAAAGAGATGAGATGAAATTATTAATTTAGTTGAATTAACTCAATTGTTTAAAGTGAAAATGATATCACAATTTCATAGTTCAAAAATACTCAAAATTTCTTTCTAAACATTTAGCAACAACAAGTAAAACAACGTAAAAGAAAAAATACCCTTCCTCTTAGTATACTTGTAGTACTCTCAATTCGTTGCGCTGTAATTAATTCTATAAGCAATTTAAATGCTTGAAATTCACTTGCTGCCTGTGCTGAGGAATCTCTGCAACGGCGTATTTTCACTTACACACACACACTCAGTCTGTTACATATATATATGTATTTGTTTTCAAATTATGTTAATAGGCTATGAACATACGGCAGCATGCGTCGATTGCGGCTTTTGTCCTCGGGCAAGGTTTTAGCGTGGTTTTCACACTTAAATGCGTGCATAAGTGGCTTTGCGGCATAAATCTGACACTTACATACTGTACAGAGCAAAGCGGTATTCGAGGAACATAATTTGCCACTTAATTGCAGAACAAGTGTTTCGTGGCAATTAATTCATTATGTACATAAAGACAAATATATAATATGTATTTATTGCCTCAGTTGACAACTTCTTCTCTTTAAAAAATGGTTTTATTACACATTTCGGTTTTTAGAGAAATTTAGTGAAATTTTTAATTATAAGCGGACCATTTAGTGCAGTGAAATAATTAATTTTTATGAAATTAAGTGATTAAGGCTTATACAAATCTAAACTAACCTAATGGAATATCTTTAGATTGTATAACTGATTAAAAAATATATTATTTATTCATCAAAGAGAGAACTTGTAAATACTAAATTAGCAAATATGTTGTACATCTAGCTAAGTCTCGGTGGAGACAATCACTAACTTGCTCAACTAGTAGACAAACGTGGCAGGAATGGAGCATGAGCCGCACAAACCGACTATTAAAATTCAAAAGGAATGACTTAAGAACTCTGATAGGAGTACTAAGTAGAAGAAGAGGAGACGATAAAACATCTATACGAATTTAAGGCTCTATATAGGAAAAGACTCCCAACTATCGGTCGAGGGTTCCTTGACGACGTATCGGAAGTTGCTTATATACAAGTAACTTGTAAAACTATTTATACTAATGTACTTCATCAGAAGCACAGGTTGGTTTAGAGAGCAGACCATAAAGTGAGAGAATATTAGTCCCGGTGGTATCATGATGGGCCTCCTATAGGCCTAGGTGCGTTGACAGATAGTCACTCTACCTACCTACCTACCTACCTATTCATCAAAGAATGGAAGCTATATGCATGTTTAGCAATCAGTATACAATGATTAATATAAATCTGTTATAGTTTTCGCTCAGAAAACGCCAAAAAAAATGTTGTCAAAACTTATAAATCGGTGGAGAATTTTAAAAACGTATGAGCAACGCGTAAAATCAAATGAAGCGTTAACAGCTGAGAACCACCAATTGATTAATCCAACTGAATAAATAATATGCCAGGTTTAGAGAAAGGTCACAGGTACATGTGATCTGAAGAGTGCCCTTATACAGTAATATATTATCTACCTCAGCTTAGGAAGATATGTGTTTCAAAGGTACGAAATGTATGTAGAACTCTTCTATGTGGTTTGCAATATGGTCAAAGACCATCGCAGCTGTGAGAACAATCTTTTTGTAGCGATTTGGTTTAGTTAGCATGACGTGAGATCGTCTACAAGTATACTGTGTTTCCCCAAAAATTTCCAAGTGGTTTTCATTAAGCGATTCACCTTCGAAACAAGCCAGAGTCTGTTGCAGTATTTCGCCTCAAACAGTGAAACACAATGCTCTGTAGTATACGGCTCCATACTTTGACTAGTACCAACGTATGCTTATGTGGTTTCTAATCTATAATTTTGTGGTAAGGCCAGTATCAGTTTCTAGATCACTGTTTTAAGCTTAATTGGAAAGCTCTGAAGTCGATGATATCATTGATGGCCAAAATACAAATCAATACGGTTACTAATTGCGTTATGTTGTACAAACAAGAATCCTCCTAAAAAACATACTTTTCAATTTTTTTTAGTTGACTTCCTAGCCCTTGTACCTCCGGCTGTCGGGTATTTCATGATCGTTTTCTTGGCTGACGTATCTTAAGCAAGTATGTGTACGTCTGCTAGTATGGTTTGCTACCAGATATATATTCTCTTCATCGCGTATTTACAGAGTAGAATGACCCATAGTACATTTAATTAATGACAACGTTTAGTCAGTTTCTCACGAATATTTTACTGTTTTAAATTTTATATCGTCCTACTTTAATAACTTCTTCTCTCACATTCCAGATGTGGCGAACGCAACGACGAATCACGCATTGTGGGCGGACAGACAGCCGGCGTTAGCGAATACCCATGGATGGCGCGTCTCAGCTACTTCAATCGTTTCTACTGCGGCGGCACACTTATCAATGACCGTTATGTACTCACCGCAGCGCATTGTGTCAAAGGTTTCATGTGGTTCATGATCAAAGTGACATTTGGCGAACACGATCGTTGCAATGATAAAGAGCGACCCGAAACACGTTTCGTGCTGCGTGCCTTCAGTCAGAAATTCAGTTTTTCCAATTTCGATAATGACATAGCTTTGCTACGTCTTAACGATCGTGTGCCGATTACGAGCTTCATTCGACCGATCTGTTTGCCACGCGCTTTCGAACGCAATGATCTGTTCATTGGCACCAAAGGTATAGCGACCGGTTGGGGCACGTTGAAGGAGGATGGTAAGCCATCATGTTTGCTGCAAGAGGTGGAGGTGCCCGTTTTGGATAATGAACACTGTGTCGCACAAACGAATTACACACAAAAGATGATCACCAAGAATATGATGTGTGCCGGTTATCCGGGTGTGGGTGAGCGTGACTCTTGTCAAGGTGACTCGGGTGGGCCGCTAGTGCGTATGCGTCCCGATGATAAACGTTTCGAACAGATTGGTATTGTGTCGTGGGGTAACGGTTGTGCACGACCCAACTATCCGGGTGTGTATACACGTGTCACCAAATATTTGGACTGGATAATGGAGAATTCAAGAGATGGCTGCTTTTGCGATGAGGACGATTAAAGTGGCGAGCGGAAGTGGTCGGGTTCGTACTGAGTGCAGTGAAAAGTTTTTTTATGTTTAACGGATTTATATTTTGATAATACTTTAAGGGGGTTTCGAAGCGCGGAAATAATATTCCTTGGGCTGGTTTTGGTTTTGCCAAAATCAGTTGTGTGTGGGATTATAAAGTAGTCGATTATTTTGTACTAAATTAATATAATTTTTTTGTATTCTTATATGTAATATCTATGGCATATATAAATAAATAAATAGTGAAAGTAAATTAAAAATTTTTGTGCGCTTAATGTCATTCTTTTTTCGATGGAATGAGAAATTCGTATATCTAATTTTAAAATATATATGATTTATGAGGTTTAGTAGGAAACTCTGCAGTAACTATATACATATACAAAAATTATATTTGTGTAAGCCAGCTTTAGAGAACGAGAGAATTTTGACAATACTAACAAATTGGCTGAAGCAGAAAGTGCTTATTCTGACTAGTCTGACGTTTACTGCTCTGTAAATTCGTGAACTTGTAGTTTTTCCCACAGGGTTATCGTTTTTATGTCATAGTTGACTGCAGTGAAAGACCGACACGCCAATAATTAGCTGAAGCATGCGAAGAAATTCGACGGCAATAATAAAGGGGGGTTTCTATTGAAATTTGGTTTCAGCATACATATACTGTATGTATATGTTACGTATGAATAATTGCATTTTTAAATATATTTTTGAGTTAAATCTATACTTCGTACATATGTATATACAAATGAAAAGCATCTTTGTGCCACTTGTGACGTAAAATTAAAACGAAAGTCAAAGTCAAGGGTGTGGAAATATATATGTATATACATATGTACATATAAATATGTAGGTAAATAGCGAATGCGCCACACATTATTGCACTGACACACTTTTTATATATGTATGTATAATATATGCATTACGCTGTTCGTTAGCTATTTAGATGTATGACTAAATTACTAGATTGTATGGAATTTACAATAATTGAGCACGATGACAATCAGATAGTTAGCTAGAGAGCCAGTGGGAAAAAGGTAATTAAAAACGCACAAATTATGTATATGTGAAAACACACAAAAAACAAAAACCATTTATAAATCATTAATTAAATGAGCCATGTGACAATGCAGATGCTGTAACGGTAAGCCCCACAAAATATCGCTTTTAAACACATTAGAAACTTACAGTAGTACCAAATTGTATGCGGACAAGTGTGAATTTTTGTTTTTATGTAAATTTAATACAAATGTAATCATATATTAAAAAGTTAGTGGTTTTCTAAAAAATTTTTAATGTAATATATTTCGAAATTTTGGAATTAAAAATTATTTCGTTTAAAAATTACATAAATATGCAAATTTAATTTTGAAGCTAACATGCAATGCTTTTTTTTTTGTTTAATAAACTGTAGAGCAAATATAAAAAAAATTTTGAAAAAATTTCTTTGAAAAAAATGATACATAATTTTTGCAATAAAATGTAATATATTTCGAAATTTTGGAATTCAAATTATTTCGTATATTATATTTTTTAATTTACATGTGCAAATTTTTTTTTGCAGCTATTATGCAATTTGTTTTTTGTTTAATAAACTGTAGAGAAACTATATAAAATATTTTGAATAAATTTCTTGTAATATGTAATTTTGTGAAAAAATTCAAAATTTTCTTAAACATTCAATTTCTTTTTTTTAATAAAATGTAATGTATAAATTTAAAAAAAAAGTTCTTGTAAAATATATTATAATAATTTATTAAATGTTTCAAAAATATTTCAAATAACATTCAATTTTTTTGTTTTAATAAAATGAACTCTGTTTGTTTTATTGTAATAAAAAAATTATTTTTTTTTATATATCATATTTTAAATTTCTTTAAAAAAACATTTATATATTTTAATTTCTTTAAAAAAATAGTTAATAAATTATTATAATAAATAAAATATAAAAAAAAATTTTTTTTTTTTAAATCATTCAATTTTTAATGAAATGTAACAAATAAATAAGTAAATATATATTTAGATAATTTCTTTTAAAAAAATATCTATTCTAATAATAAATTAAATATTTTTTATTAAAAAAAATAATAATATTTCCAATAACATGAAATTCTTTCGTTTTAATAAAATGAAAAAAAATAAAACATTATCGTAATGAAAAAGAAATATTTTGTTTTTTATTTTTTAATTAATATTTAAAAAATTATTATAATAATTAAAAAAAATAATATATTAAAATCAGTAAATTTTTTTGTTTTAATAAGAAGTAAAAGATAAATAAAAAAAAAAATATATTTTTTGAAAATTTCTTTTCAAATTTTAAAATTATAATAATTCATTAAATATCAAACAGAAAAAAAACATTTATATTTTCAGTCACATAACATTTTTTTGTTTAAATAAAATAAAAAAAAAATTCGATTGTACAAAAGAATAATATTGTTTTTGACTTCTTAAAAAAAATATTTAATAAATTATTATAATAAATAAAATGTAAAAAAAATTATTATTTTTAAACTCATAAATTGTTTTTTTTTTTAATAAAATGCAAGAAATTAATCAAAAAATATTTATTATAATTCAATAAATATTTTTTAGAAGAAAAAATTAGTATTTTCAATATTACCAATTTAATGAAATGTAAAAAAAAATTAAATAAATATTTTTGCAAAACATTCAATATTTTTAGACAATACTTTTTTTTTTGCATAAAATTTTTATAAAAAAACTGCCTTGTAAATGCGCACATACATTCAAAACCGTTTAATTAAAATAACAATGCAGTGTTAATCGAATATGCTTTATGCACAGGCAGGTGTTCAATTTAAGTTAAACTGATAACAATAATTAAATATTTAAATCGTTTAACGGTTTCGCATATTAAAAGCAACGGATATATTTTGGGTGATCTGTGATTTCTAGCTATATAAACTGCAAATAACTCATATTTATTGTTTTTTTTTTTTTGCTGAGAACCAAAAAGTTGTGCGAATTTTGGCGAGCCGATAAAGGAAAGTGCTGAATAATGATTTAATAACAACAACAAAAACAAATTTGCACTTATATATGATATAACTAACTTCAGCAGCGAGTGTAATTGTTATTGTTATGCATAAAGAGCGCAGCTATGGAGAACTGTGCTATTTGGTGTTAACACATTTATGATGTGCACACTGCTCATAACCCGTTAATTTAATTTTAAATATTTTATTGCATTTATTATTATTTATGCAACATTTTTAGGTTAAGAAACACGTAGATGCATGCGTTTGACTTTTAGCTGTCACTGTTTTTACTTATTCAATTATTTTTTCTGTGCGTTTTAATCTTTTCTTTTTTATATGCTTTTGTATCACTTACAAATTTTTTTACTTTTTTTTATAATTTTCATATTTGCTATTTCAAGCGTTATTATCAAACCAACATTAAAACACTACAAAAATTATATCGTTATTAATTTCTTTTTTATAATTACGCTTCACTTTACAACTCGTGTGGACTGTGAACTTACACACTTTTTCTGCAATATTTACTTAATTTTCGCAACAACTTTTCACACTTTTTACTCTCACAATTTTTTGCTATTATTTGTTATATATTTTTTATTTCACCGGCACTCTCACGCGTCACTAGAGTGCGCCAATCTACATAACAGCGTGTGGTAGCTGCGTTTAGTTCGCTAAATGTTGTGACTACAATGACTCGGCGTGGCAATTGTTGCTTTTCACCGCGTCGAATGTTGTGCCTGACAATTTTTAGCGTTGCGATAAAGTGACATGCTAGTGGTGTTGTTGATGTTAGCGTTGCAGCCTCCACAATATATAAAATGTCACGCCACCCACACATTTGCATATAGTCATACATACATACATACATACATATGTGTATATAGATTGTATGTAAGAACATACTATATGTAAAAATATTGAAGAATAGAAAAATGTTTCCACAAAATTGCATGCAGTGTATAAAACTGAGAATGGGGGGCACTCCAGGCACAGCGTGCGTTAAGAAACGATATAATATTTTGTACTAAAAATGAATTTGGCTAAGTATGACGTTTTTGGATTATTTTTATAAAATTTATCTTAGACGTCAATCTTAATAAAAAAATTCGGTATTTTTCAGTCAGCTTAGCTTCAGTTTCTTTGTAGCATTTACTTGCGCCATTATGTTGAACATTTCGCAATCTTTCGGCTTTCTTACAGTTTTTGGCTGCTCTTCACTCACAATCACTCACAAGTTCTGAATTGCATTGAACCGAATGCAGAGCTCTACAGTCGAAACACTTTATGTTCGATAATTCTGTGGAAACAAATGCATATTTTCATTGAATCTGTACACTTGTCACGAAGTTATGAAACTCTGCTACTATTTTCAGTTTACGTCACGCAGTCACGCAGCGCGTTGGTGTCCCGTTTTTGCTTGGAATGCGCCAATGCAATCACCAGCAGCCGCGTGTGTGTTTATATTTTTATTACGTGTGTATATGCATATGTATATATTATTGTATATTTAACACATCGCTTTTTATATATGTATATACAGCTATATATATATCATATAAATTACACTGCGCTTTTTTCGCAGCTTTTTTCTCAACCACTCACCAATAATATTTTCTTTTTTCGAGCAGCACTGCTTTGTGTGGCGTTTACGCGCAAACCCGTATTACTTTAGCGTGGATCTGTAGATGCTACTTTTTCAACGTTGAATAGAGCACCTTAATTTTACGCCGCTTGCCGTTAGCTGTTTACTGCTTGCGTCACTTGTTGCTTGTGTAAATATTCAGCCACTAAGCTTAACGGTTTGCAGTAGTCGCGTTTGCTTTCGCAGCGTTTAATATTTTTCACTTATTCGACAATATTGAAAACAACTACAAAAACATTTTGTAAACTGTATACATAGAAATGTATGTACATATGTATATGCTAAAAAAAAACAATGCACTGAGTCTTAAAGTATATGCTGAGACCGGCACTCTACACTCTTGCTCCAGCACTTTGACAGCATAGCAAAAACAATAACAAAACATAAATAAACAGCGCGTATTAGCTACAAAGTAATCAGGCGAATTATGAAAAGTCAGCAAATTAAAAACCAAGCGCACAAATTTCGCTTTGTGAATAATATGTGCAAATAACGCGATTGACGTTTCAACGATAGATCGATACGAATTTTCGGCGCGTCGCGTGTTTCTTAGCCAACGCTTGCGAACACACATGCGGGTTTTTCTTTCGACCCAACGCTGGTTTGATGATTTGTTTGACCGAAAAGAAAAAAATTTATATAAAAAGAAAACAAAAAATAGTAAAAAATTATTGCCGTCGCCGCTGAGTTTAGTTTGGTATACTCGTCGCTCGCTGATCACTGCTGACTGACTCGGCGTATCTCCACGCCGCACCGCTGTAGCGCACCAGCAGCTTGGTTCTGCTTTCGATGACGGCTGCTGCCGATCTTTTTGCCAGCTGCGGAGTCCACTGTTGGTGCTGTTGTCGGTGGCTTTTGAAAAATAAATAAATGTATGTGTATATATGTATGTATGCGCATGTATGTGTGTGCAAATTGTTGCTGAAACTTTGCTAAGTCAATAACAACAAACACATGGCTGTAGATAACGGCATCACCATGAAATATCGCTTATAAATACATATAGGTATATACCACACACATACATGTGTTAACTTGTATATTCTTGCCTGCGCTGCCTCACAAAAAGCTGCCTCTCCATAGAAATTATAGCCGCCGCCGCGCGCAATCTCATACACCTCATTTGCGCCACCCCCTTACCGCTTCTTTTCACAATCAGCGCGCACAATCGCTACACACCTTTGTCGCTGCGCGCAAGTATGTGTGTGAGTGTGTGTACAGCTGCCGCGCCGCGTTCCAATCTTGAAGATACAACACGGAGAGTTTTCTCATTGTTGTTGTAGCACAAAAAGTGACTGATTTCAAAAGTATTTTTTCATGATTATAGCGCACGAGTATTGCTTGTTGCTACCGTTGCTCTTCTCATAGGTGCTTTTGCTCAGCCTCTTTGTTTTTACGGTTAGTATGTGTTTTTGTTGTTGTTTTTTTTTTTTTTAGATTTTAGATTTTCTCCGTATTGGCTACACGCTTAGTTGTGCTGTTTTAGTTTTGCTCATCAGAGACGCTGGCTCTTTCCATGTTTTTAATAGTTTTTTCTACCCACACACACACATCACACAAAAATTATATATTTGATGGCACACGTCGATTTTCCGCTTTCACAGCTGTTCGGCACCTACGTTGGCGGTGTTACAGATTTTCGTTTTTAAAATGTATAATCATACATATGTATGTATGCAAAAATATGTACATATGACCCTACAAATACATATATATACATATATGTATGTGTGTATTACGAAACACTGGCGCTCTCGCTTTTACGAGCAAGTGAATAAATAAGTCATGACCAGTGTCGAGTTTTTGTTGCATTTTGCACCTTCGAAATCCATCGGACGCCTTCGGACAATGGCTATCCAAAGATCTATCTTAATTGATAGTGAGCTGAGTATCTAAACTCGATTTTAAAAAGCCCCAGATCGGGCGCATGGTCACATCGGAATCGCCGGAATGAGCTTGCTAGAGAGCAAAGCCGATGAGCTTGCTAGAGAGCGCGCCGTTACTTCGATTTCATTCGTTTGTAAGTGAGCTCTACAAACGGAACTTGTGCGGCCGCGAGATGCTGCTGGGGTAAAAGTGAACTGTAAGCTTTTCTCTGAACTATATATTTGCTTTTAGCATAGTCAATCCCTCCGCAATTGTCGGCGTTTTGACTGCGCACTGTCTAATAGGCTCGCAAGCGGTGTGTTTAAATATTTTGTCAAACGCTTTTTGCCAAAGCTGTATGTTAGAGATTGAGGTGGTATCATCCAGGCTTTTTCTCGTTTACAGTATAGCTTTTGCCACTCAGAGTTTGAACTATCGCGTTAGACACACCTTTGGCGAAACTAGCGAAGTGACTGGAATTGATATTAATCGCCTTAACAAATTTGTGATAATCTCAAAAAGCTCCGTCGCGCTAAGATGATCGGGTGATACATATTTAAGAGTTTTTTGGGTATCACAAAGCATGAACGGTCCAAGCTGTTTAAGAGAGATCCAGCACTAATTTTGGCGACGGGATCAACACTACGATCTAAGCTAACCCAACCTAACTCGGATCATTGATGATAATATTTTGAGGTAAGCTTTTGACATTAAGAAGTGAATACGGAGTTCTACAGCTTTTTCTTCCAAATAATTCAGACGAATTTCTGTATTATTATTGCGCTTTTACCACAGAAACTCCCTAAAAGTTATTTCTTCATGTAATATACCAGGGAGTGGCTTGGTGATGCTTCACCAGACTTTCGAATTTCATGGGGTATACTTTAGCCACTTATTTATACACGTATAAATTTAATATATACGAGTAAAACATCTCATGTTGGTTTGAAGCTTATAGTGCTCTCCATATATTTTGACTCTCTGAATACTTCAGTTGGTGTTAGTGTGCTAAACAAAGTTTTCAAACATTGAAAGTTAAAAAGTGTATAGTACATAACTACTTATAGCTGTTAGTATGTATGCACCGAACGGTCATTTATTAAAAGCTAGCACTACCACCGCTGCACCAAACGCTAATTTAGAGCTTGTTTAGCGCAGACTAAGGCTATCAAAAACCTGAATATTGTCGCCTCTCACAGCTTTTCGAGTCAGTGCAACAACTGCAACTGAGCTACAACAAAATTATGCAATCAAACAATGACTTTCGGATTAGTTTGAGCTTAAGTAAACAGGGTGCGGGAAAATTTTGGTGGAAAAGTCGGTTAAATAATAAAATATAGAAAAAATATATTGCAAATACGTAATAGTGTTAGGTATGTGCTAAACGTGGGAAAAACTCAAATATAAAGCAACAACAATCAAGAACAACGGTAACAATTAGACTACTGTCAATAGTATGATAAATTCATTACAAAGCCAACAAAGGAGTCCCTAATTATACATACATATGTATGTATGTACATTTATATATACATATGTACATATTATGCATACGGATACATACATACATACATTTGTACATAGCTGTCTTGCAATGACAGAAATATATTGCACTTGGAATTGTTCGAGTATAAAAAAAGCTTTGGAAAAATTGCAATAAGCAACATTGGCTGTAATCCATGGCAATTATGTGCAACAAAACAATAGATAAATTGTTGAAAAGTAAACAATAACAACAAAATGTCAATGACTCCCTTCATAGACAAAACAAAAAGTTCACTTTAACACCTTTAGTCTTATGTCTCATAAATGTATTAGGGTGGATCGAAAAAAAAAATTTTTTTTCTCAAATGTCTTTTAGTCTAATGTCTTATGAATGTATTAGAGTGGACCAAGAAAAAAAAAAATTTCCAAAATGAGTATAAGAAAATATTCCTGTGTTGTTCATATATGTAAAATAAAATATATATCGAAAATACAATTCGCCATCTGTTAATATTAATATTAAAATTTCAAACTATACTAGAATTCTTTTATCGTCATTCGGACACAAATTTCACGGTATCTAAGGTAAAAGTAAATTTTTTTTGGGCCACCCTAATATTTATGTATATACATATGTATATTAGGGTAAAATTGAATCAATCAAAAACAAAACTGTCAGAAAAGCTCTTTTAGTACGAAATATCATCTTTCTAACGCCATCTAGCCGAACCCGATCGGACATGATACAATATTTAGAACAAAGTTAGGAAAGGGTTACTCTAGATTCGCGCAGCATTTCGAGCTCTTCGCCTGCAATTGGTGGTGGTTTGAGTACAAAGACGCCATTCATTGCTTGGTAGTAGGTAAAGGAGTTCATAGCTACACTGTGAATGGCGTTCAGTGCTTGTCTGAAGTTAGTTGCGTCGTTATAATTAACGAATGCTCTCTTGATGCTCCTAGGAGGCGATGTCGATTCAAGCTAGTGGCTGCAAGGGTAATTTACAATGCTACGAAAGCAGCCTAGCATAAATTGCTTGGCGAGTAGCGTTTTATGTTTCTTAATTAGAAGCATGCAGGTCTTTCTATGTAGCTGGTCGATGGTAGACATCAGGGGGCATACTGTCATTGTATGGAGTGCAGTGTTCTGACACGTCTGAAGCTGCTTCGTCTGCGTTCCACTACATCCAAGCGACCAAAGCGGTGCTGCTCTTCTCAAACGACGCTTCTATGCATTTAACTACTGAGATAGTATAAATATACCATACGGCAATAGTCGCAGATCTTTCGATAACAGTTATTAACTTAGAATCACCCGTTATTAACAAATATATATGTATATATATGTATTATATGATATTATAGACTAATTATATTATATTATAAATAAATTACACTTGTAAATATTTTATTTTTCAAGTAGAAGACAATTGGCAAAATGCTTGTGCATCATTCTAAGAGATATGGTAATAGCAAAATCATGTTTAGGAGCCAAATCATGTTTGTTTTTTGCCTTTTTACAATTTCATTTCTACGAAAATTACTTTATGATTACAGTATTTATAAAAGAATGTATGAAAAATTGTGTTGCAACACATCAGTATTGTAAGCTGCGTTTAGTTCCTATGTCGTCAAGTATTTGTCGCAACTCTTCATCTTCGAAACGTCCCTCTAACGATGGTATTAACGCCTTAGCCTCTTCGGGCGCCTCAGGGCACAGATTACCCAGTGCAGCCAATTCGAATTTATGCAATTTTTTCTGCATCAAAAGACTGAAGAGAACAATGTTAATGCTTTAGTTGAGTTTTTGTAAGATCAAGGATTTAGGTTTGGTATTTTAGTGAATAAGAGTGAAAAGTAGTTTTGTTGGTTATTTAGAGGGCTGTTACTAACCTGCGTACCGCTGCAATTGTTTCCTTATTTTTGAATTTGCGAAAACTGTCTGTGTATGCGTATGTCTTCATGAAAACTTCGGAGAATTCCTGCTCCTCATCGGCGGATTCATTCTGTCGTTTACGATGGTCAAGCAGCATGTGCACTTCGGAGATCAGCAACGTCTCTGCGTTCTCAAATTCTGTGAACGATGAAATTTTATTTTATTAATTTTATTACTAACATATTAAAATAGCTGTTAAAGAAATACGCATGTGCAACACAAGTGAAACGCAACTGAAACTAACATCTATCAATAATAAACAAGCTTGTTGTTGGTACTTGTTGCGCGCCGCTAAAAGGCAAACAAATCACAAGGGTTTATTTATGTGTCCATTTTCGATCAGGAAATCGTATATTTGACGTGTTTTATTGACGTCGATTTTGATTAAACGTCTCGCATCGGCCAAACGCAAATGACCCATTTTCATGTTTTCCGCTATTAATATATTTTTATAGTCAATATATGCTTGTGGAGCTACACGCTCAACACTACACAGTTTGCGTTCGCCATCGGTGAGTCGGGTATAACCGGGCATACCTAGCAGGTAAAAAAAATTTGTTTTCAATAAAATGTAAAATTTGCAACTTTATTTGACAAACCGATAATGTCCATGGGTCCAGCTTTTCGCCTAGGATTGCTTACAACATTAGATGTTGCAAAGGGATTTGGTACAAGCGTTTGAGTGCTTGGTATTAGCTTACGCCAATCGTGCAGTTGTCGATAGTTTACGTCTTTTTGGCGATCCCGCTGTTGTTGTGCACGACGTTTCTTTGATTTGAAATACAACGCACCACCTGCTAGTGTGCGCACACCATTCTGACGCAACTCATATAAACTGTTGGATATAAAAGTGTGGTTATAATTTTTATATATGCAATAGTTTTTACAACAAAATTCTCACCGATAAATAGTCTTCTGTGTATCTGTAAAATATTTTAGTGATTCAACCAACATATCAAACTTAACAGGAGTACAAATTTGCATGAAGGAAAGAAAACGACTGCAATTTGACTCCGAACCTAAAGCCTCACTATACTTGGAAATCCAGCCCAACGTACGATTTGCCATTATAAGTCCATGATCACGTATTATTTTATAACGACGTTCACGTTCTCTGCAATTATAAGCACAAATTATTCAAAAAATTCTAATTTTTTGCAAACAATAATGTATATATATAAACGCTAATACCTCAAGCGATTGTTATAAGCCGCCACAACTGCCAATTGCAATTCCTCATAAGCATTACGACTATTTTCATCAAGCGTTTCTTCGTAGTCATCTGTTGCAGCATGCGTGTCAAAGGTATCCTGCATAATTGTCGTCAATAGATCCTCAGCTGAGTTGTCGTATGGTGTATCGAAGTCACCACGTGCGCAGCGATAACCCGCCATCATTTTAAATTGCATTGTACCAGGCTCATCGCTACGCGGCGGATCCACCGAGCGCATTTTTACCACATAAGGCATGCGTTGAGGAAAGTAGGCATTTTTTGAATGTGCCATACCAAGCAGGCGTTCAAAGATGCCACCAAAGTAATAATTATGATAATGTTGACGGCATTCGTCCGCACTATGTCGGAGATGTAATGCGTTCGCCACCGCTTCCCAATTGCCGTAGCCTTTCTTTTCTAGCGTGCGTAGTAATATACGCTCATCCCTTGCAGTCCAATTATTTGCACCTGGGAAAATCTGTATATCATCGCGCATAATGATATAAGAATGTGTATTAAGGTGCGTGGCAGTTTCGCGTCCCTGCGCAAAGCATTGCATACACAGCAGCGTGGACTCACAATCGGGACACTTTATATATGGTTCGTAGAGATCGCAATTGCAAGTGCTACAACGTTCCGTGTTATTTACACCAGCTTCTAAGTAGTTCACATTACTTCTGTGTATCGCTTTGGTACGTTGCTCGAGCGTTCTGTTGAACTCTTCAGCATTATAGTAGGTTGTTATATATTTTGTATCAGCTTTGTGGCGCACTTTTGTAATGTGCTGTTGTTGGTTGCCATTCATTTTTGACAAATTATTCGGCGCTTCTAATTTGACTACAAAATGAAAATTATAAAAAAAAAAAAAAAATTGTTGCGTCCAATTTTATCGCAAAACTTTTATAAACACTAAAGTAGCGCGTTTCACTTGTGGAACACAGATCACAAAATAATACGTTAACTTACCCTTTGGAAATTGAAGATCCGCAGCATCTTCCTCAACCATATCCACGGGATTCATGAAAGACATCTTGCTTTTAATGTGTTCACTTAACTGTTTAAAAATGGAATTAAACTTTTACAACGAAATTAATATGGAAGTGCACAAATAATATAAAATCATACTCTGACAAGTCGGCTTTCCCAGTTTTTGACAATTAGATATTTTAGTGTTGCCAGATGTAGCAAAGTCACCCCAGTTTTTGACATTTAGATATTTTAGTTTTCCAGATGTAGCAAAGTCACCAATGAATAATACTTAAATTAATAATGCAATATTACAAGCACAGTCAACAATATTTCTGCTACTCAAACATTCATTTGAATGTTTTTGAATATTTAACTAATTCGTGATTTTGTTACAATAATTTTCTTTTTTATTAATTAAGTTAAAACGCGCTTGGGCAAATGCAAATAAATATACAAAACTCTTTGGTAAAATCGTCGTATAGATGTCGCTGTATAAAATTTGTTTTCATCTAATTCGTAAACAAAACAATGGATGCTCCGCTGCGTGTTGAAGATGCAGCTAACAAAATTAATTTAACATTAATCAATGGCACTGGATATGTATTCAATGTGGTCGGTGAGTAAATATATTTACGTGTCATATTAACTTAAAAACCACAAAATTACTATTACAGACTATATGACATTGCGGCAGAAGCACCGCATTGTGGGTGCATTGGTGGGCACATGTAATATGCGTGGATGGTCGGCGAATGATTGCAGTTAATTGTAACATTAAATACACATTTTTTCGCACTTTTTAAACTGTATACTTTCTTCTTTAGCTCTACCGCTGGAATTGACGCCGTACGAAACACGATTTTTAGTAGAACGTGACATTGCGCAATTGGTCTCAAAGCAAGAATCTTTACTGCGTGTGCCGGTTGCCAATGAGTTGGCAGAGTACCATGGCTTGTTAGAGGCAGGTTTTGCATCCCAAGCAGAAACGCTTAAGACAGAAAAGTTACGTGAGACTGAACGTAATATGAGTAAGATACTTGAGGGAAAGCGAAGGAAGCTTTTAAAGGAAGGTGTACTTGAAGCCGGTATAACTTAAAGAAAAACTCATTTTAAATAAATATTTTATCTAAAACTATATTTTTGAATAGATATTGTGATAGATGCTTCGAAAATTCTGCAAGAAACTGCTGATAATTTCGTATTTGAACGCAAGAATGCGCAATTGGAAATAGCGTGCGCGCATAAGCAAACACACCGTAAATAATTTGTATATTTATAAAATAAACAAAGGTTTTTAACGATTCGTGCTTACAGCTTTCAAAACTGTCGACCTACCTGCCATCGAAAACGCTCTTAAATATAAAGTGTTTTGCGATTTTTGGACGCGTGGTTACTATGTCACTGCGGGTGATGCGTTCGGCGCTGATTTTCTGCTTTATCCCGGCGATCCACTACAATATCATGCCTCACACATTGTGATACTACTTGATACACCGATCATACAACCTTTAGACATGATAGCCAAAGTGCGTTTATCTGTAATAGTCAATAAGATTTGCATATTTGCTTATTTTGGCGAAGAACTAGCGGAAACGGATACAAAAGTTGAGCGTGAAGTACACTATCAAACTGTGCAGTGGGAGGGTAATAGAGAAAAGTTAGGTGCTGTCGCAGCACCAAGCAGAGAAAGCTGAGAGAAATGTATAATATGGTTATTGTAATTAAAAACTGCCTTGAAAATGTTTTAGAGTCAATGCACAGTTATAAACTGTATTAGCAAATAAAATGTGTGTCTAATTTATGAAATGGATTTAGTAATATGTTACTATATTTTACGGAATTTTATGGTTACGAAAGCGTTGGCGAATTCGAACTTGAATTTTTTGGGCACTCGATAGTCAATAATTTGAAAATGCTGAGGAGGTCAGATCATTTGATCAAATTTATGTCAATCCGTTCCCACGACAGTCGGGTCTATGTATATGTGGAACGGACCCGGATTTTATCCGACCAAGGACTGTCAATTCGGCAGAATTCTGCCGCTACAACAACAACAACAACATCAAATTTATGAAGCCATGAGACATGCCATCCCGGTTAAAAATATGGGTCCGTTCCGGCTTCGTAGACCCGACTGTCGTGTGAATAGCTCATCTAATACCTGTTGTTGTTGTAACGGTTACTTAGTCCCCGTTTGGGTGATAAATTCCAGATTCGTTGTCGTCGAGGTCATCTAACGGAAACGAGCTGTTTCGACGGGGTCGGTCCATAGGGAGAAGGGTGTTAGATGAGTGCGATTTGTTGGGCATGCAAAGAGGTGGTTAGTGTCATGCAGAGACTCATTGCACGCAGGACATTTGTTTGGTATGTCGGGGTCTATTCTGGATAAGTAGGAGTTTAACCTGCTACAGTATCCAGAACGAAGTTGCGCGAGGGTCACTATGGTTTCGCGAGGCAACTCGAGCTCTACGTCTGCTATGGGTGGTGGTTTGCTCATCTAATACCTCTCCCCTATGGTCCGACCTCGTCGAAACAGCAAGGTTCCTGTGCCTTCCGTTAGCTGCTTTCGCTGACAACTAACTTGAGCCTTGCCACGCAAACAGGAGTTAGATAACCGCTACAACAACAACAACCGGTAGACCTAACCAAAGAAAGTTTCTGTTTAAAATAACAAAGCTTTTCAGTTTAACCTTCGTCGTCTGCTTAAAGTGGTCTCGACGGCACATTTCCTGCTAAAAATTTACATATGCTGTCGCCTGACAGTTCTCGACTGCTTATTGCAAGAGATTTTTTATACCTTGAACAGGGTATATTAAGTTTGTCACGAAGTTTGTAACACCCAGAAGGAAGCGTCGTATACCCTATAAAATATATATCTAAATGATCAGCATGATGAGCTGAGTTGATTTAGCCATGTTCGTCTGTCCGTCTGTCTCTATATACGCGATCTAGTCTCTCAGTTTTTGAGATATCCATCTTAAATTTAGGATATGACCATTTCTCACCAAGAAGCTGCCCATTTGTCGGTATGGCCGATATCGGAACACTATAGCATATAGCTGTCAAACAAGCTGAACGATCGGAATCAAGCTCTTGTATGGAAAACTTTTTCATTTAATGAGGTATCTTCACGAAATTTGGAACACGGATCATTATCTAAGGCAATCATGAATTCTCCGCAGAAATTGTTCAGATTGGACTACTATAGCATATAGCTGCCATACAAACTGAACAATCGGAATCAAGTTCTTCTAATGAATCTTTTGTATTTGTGAAGGGTATTATAGTTACGGTGCAACCGAAGTTAATGTTTTTTTTTTTTTTTTTTTTTTTTTAATTTTTGGTTAAATGTTTACCAACAGTTCACAGCTTCAATCAACGAACGCCTCGCTATGTAGCACATGCCAAAGCCTGGACAGCCAAAACCTGCCGCGGACAGCAGGGCGTGTTGCACGCATGCATATTTTTTTGTTCATACTTGTAGACATTCCGGCGCAGTACATGTAGTGAACTTTAGTTTTTGGCTGCGTGACGGTGTACAGACTACCAACGCTACGGCGCGCCGACCAAACTTGCAAATGATATGGAAATTCCAGTGAAAATTGACAAATATTGTACGCTTTAACGCGTTGCACGTTCGCGACACGCTGACGCTTAATTGCAACATTACAGCGACACAGACAGGACATGCAAATGCTGATAAGAAAACACCACCAAAAACACAAATGACCAACAACGCGCAACAACAACGTTGCCGTTCAGTAAAAGATCGACAAGCGAGCGCGTCGTGCGCCACGTCCAGCGGCGTGTTGAACAAGCGTGTCTGGCAAAAATGCTGTCATGTCGGCATTTGTTGGCAGCAACAAGTCGCGCAAACGCACAAACACATATGTATATCTGCATACAAAAGTTGTTGCAACGCGAGAAAAACGTTTGAGGCACGCATAAAGCAATCTATCGATGAAAGGCGCATGCGTGGAGCAATTGAAATGCATTAACGTGAAACAAAGTGTTCTGAGAAGAAAAGGAATGCTGCCATAAAATAGTTGTGCATAAAATTCTTCTTCTTAGCAAACGCTTAAGCTCCGATAAATTATGGCTTTTTTGGTACATTTCAGTAGCCGTAATATAACAGCGGGTAATTAAACGAAACAGTAGGAAACGAAACAAATGACCGCTATTAAAAGCTTTGTGTGATTGAGCAGCGCTTGACTATTGTTGGCCATCACTTCAGGTATGCACACGCTTAATGTTCTCGCTCACAAAGGTTCGCTATAAAACTGAGTTTGCTTTACAAAATGAAATAATAACAAATATTGAGGGATTTCTTTATACCGCAGTGCGTTCGACTCCAATTGCTGGAGTAAATTTTTCGTTAAAACCCTCTATTTGAAGACCATCGTCGGCTGGCAACAATTTATAATCGTTTTCAAAAGAGTGCGTATTTATAACCGGAGAACCGTTTATCCATAACAGCCACCGCCATTTGGGTGTTGTTTGTCAGGCAACACTCTTCGAATGCATTTTCGTTTTCTCTTCTGAAACATCACGTTAAGTTTTCATATCACAGAGTTGCTGTAGTTGTAACGCAAAAATCATTCTCTAAATAATATTTAGGAATGCCGCCGAGGTTAACCTCTTTAGACGGATACAAACGCGAGACCTTCAGGGTTTGCTGACCCGACTATCACAGAGCGCTTCAGCTCACGACAGGCGCTATCTTCACTTATATTTGTGGTGTGAAGAGTACTAGCTTCCATACGTTTCTCTAGAGACTGACAGAGTCTGTCGTTTTTCTCAAACAGAGATCTATAGTGGAAAGTTAGAAATAGATAGACAAAAAAAAAACAAATTTGAGCCGGAATGTAACGTATGACGAAATGGACGTATGTTCGCCGAAAAACGTCACTCAAGATCCTTTGATTCTTTTTTCATAAAAACAGGCGTCTAGAGGAAGCTTTACGCACCCATCAACTAAAGGGACTAAGTGGTAGTCAGGAAAGTAACGCAGACTCCTTTCACTCAAATCTTCCAGAAAATAATAACTGATCGTACGCCAGTCTCATATTACCAACTAATGTCGCAGAATCACTCTAGAAGAGATCTTGTGCAATGCAATCATTAATTTCATGGATTACTGCCTACTGTCCGTTTAGTGAACGCAACTACTGTGCCACGCGCAACTACTATGCAACTTTCATTCTTTCTATTTAAAGCCATCATTAATTGTCGAAGACGAATGTGTACACGAAGAACTGGCTGGTTGATTGCAGTGCCTTAAACAAAGCGCGTGCACAATAAAAAACTTCAGGAAGCTGACAGTCAACGAGGAATGCCGAAATACCGCCATCTTTATGGTACGTCGCTGTCGGCAGAAGCCCAGCAATAGAAAATTAACGACCAAAAGCGATTGTCAATTGGCGTACAAGTGTTTGCGTGTTGCATGCGGCCTGCGGCATGCGGCAAGCAGTGGCAACAACAGCAGACGTAGCAACACTTACACGCGCATCGTGTTGTACACGTATATAACATGCAACAGGGCAATATGTTGTGGCCGCTACCAATGGACACTTGTCAGCGGCAGCAAAGACCGATCGTTGTCGGTATTTTATTAATCGCTACTTTATACCCGCTATTGTTGTTGTTGTTGCAATTTCTATTGCTGCCGGAGTTCGCGTAAAGCTGTTTAAACTCTAATTTTAACTGCTATTAGTACAGCACACGCTTAACACTAGCAGCGACGCGCTGGCCTATAAGCTTTGCTATTGCTGCTACGCGCGCGCACTGACGCCTATTGCCGCATGACAATTCAAGCTAAGTCTGTGCGCCTACAGCTATTTTGTGGCTACTACATTCAGTGTCGCTGGTTTAATTATCCTGTTTTATGGCGGTTTAATTTACTGCCTGCCGACAGTTGTGAAAATTTATGCGCTGGTTTACGATCGGCAATATTTGTGCGCTGGATTTAGGCGCTCAACTTTATCCACGCCGGCTGGCTCTTTGTTGACTCTTTGTAGTCGCTACTCTTGTCGCTTTCAAATTGAATGGATTTCAAATCAATTGACACGCCCACACATTTGTCATGCGCACATGCTGCTGGTGTGATATGTCCATATGTGTTTTGTCATAGAGATTTATGCATTGTTGCAACATTTTTCAATTACACATCGCTGGCTGTCATTTAGGTGACAGTTAATTTGTGGAACGTGATTTTAAACGCGATGATATATGTTTTATGTATTTAATCCGTTGGGTATAATGGTGTTTTGGTTAGGCTCGAACAACAAAATTGCAACGGCTTCATCGGTGTTATGAGCATACATACAATTATTCCACCGAGTTGCTGAGAGCTCGTTCTGCCACTTTGTCTTTGATGAGAGCTGAATCCGCACAACTTTTTTCCCGCTGATTAGTTCAAGCCAAGTACGAGTACGTGCGAGGTTGTATTATTTTCAAGCGGTGAGCTAAGGTAATCTACTGTCAGGCGCTCAGTCAGCTTGTTCTCATACGACAATAGCTTTCGAGCTGAGCTGAAGCTGATGAGTTGTCGACAGCGCTCGTGATTAGTGATAAAGAGAGCCGACCTTAATGTAGTTAGACCGTTTAAACCTAGCTGACCATACCCGGTTTGGACAGTCTGGATTCCGTGTTAAGCGTCCCGGCCGTCCCATGCTTAGAAATAAAAAAAAAAGAATGAATTGAATACAATTGTATTGCTCTCTCAGCTATTATATGTCGCGATTTTCAGTAAATTATAATATGGAAAAAATCGAGTACTAAAAACAACCGTCCCGGATTTTGCCGGAACAAATATGGTCACCTAAGTTTAAAACACTTTACTATAGTTACCTAATAATACTAACCGAAAATCTGACACTATGGTAAGACACAGCGTATGAAGCCACGACAGACGGCTCTATGTAATTTAAACGGATCCGAATTTTCAATCGCTTAAAAACCGTTAACTCGATAGCAGTTCTCAATATTGTCGGAGCAATGTTTTTTGTCGCAACAACAACAACAACACGTCATTAAAGACTTTCACTTTATCAATGCGCGTAAATTTGTTTCCGCATTTGATAAAATACTTAAAAGATTTTGGTCAATGTGCCACATTAACTGTAACAATAGCTATCTTATCGCACGCATTTCTCCCATAAACGTTGCATTGCAATTATTGCAAGTTTTACTTATTTAAAATTAGTAAACCTTTCCTTTTACAACCACTTGTGACTGCATTTTACCTGGCTACACGCTTTGGCGCCAAACTACAATACTCAAACGGGATACTTTGGCGCCGTACACCATTTCTGGCATATCGCCCCACCCCACACAGTTGTCGCGACTCGAAACGACATTTGCCGCATTTGCACACTTCGGCGCCCAGCCACAACCGCCTTCGCGTCGGCCTACCGCAGACATGTCCTAAATTTTGGGTTAACAAATCGCGCAAATATAAAAGCGATTTACACTTTTCATACCGCCTTTGAGCAAAAGCAGCCGAGGAATTTTAACCAATCCAACACGCTCTGTGCCAAGCCGAACGCCTTTATGTGGTAAAATCGCACAAATTCCTTGGCGTGTTGTTAACGAGCGCTTTCACGGCGAACTTTAATGGCATTAAGCGCGGCAAAGAGTCAGCCAGCTATGACTAATGTTGGCACAAATACTTGTATGTATATGTGAGTGTGTGTGTGTGTGAAAGCAACAAATGATTTGTAAAAAAATAAGTAATTTTATTTAGCTGCGCGCTTGCTTGAGATCATTGCGCGCAACTGACAGTTAATTAAAATTGGCATGGAGTAGCTTAATAATAATATTAGCGAAGCGCGCGCAAAGCTACACCCGGCAGCCTGACCAAATATGAATGAGCGCGGAGTTGTAAACTTTTCATTTATGTCTTTTTCGTTTTTGGTTATTATTGCTAATTTATATTTTATTTCATATGCGCATGCCAAAGACATTTGACTACCAAATAAATGGTTCAAAACACTTGGGGCAAATGGTATTGTTTCGACATGCGCGCAAACGAATGGTAAGTAACAAATAGTGGTGCAGTGATGCGGCGCGGCAATGACAGACGCGCGCACTGCATTTATAAGTGTACTCAGCTGTTTGGTCATTAAATCACCCTACAAACATATATATACACACAAATGCATGCATATATAACTAAATAGGTGTATATGTACTGCCCGTTGCTACTCATTTTGTTCTATGCGCCGTAAGCGGTCAACTCACTGGCTGACTACAGTCATATACATAGGTACTACGTTAGATGAGGCTGTAAAAGTAAAATAGCCATAGCTAAAATGTATTTGGAGCTAGTCAATTTTAGAGACGCCCAAGTTGTGGCCATTACTAATAGGCGGCTGTCACAAAAGTCCAAAATGAAAGAATAGAGAGACGCGCAGCCAGCCGCACAGTGGCGCATACGCGTTCGTGCGGTCATTTAGTTGTACGCGCACTCAGCGTTGCAGCCGCGTTATGTCTGGCTAGAGACGACGCCATTGTAAGATAAATATGCATGTACATATGTAGATATATGGTCATTAATCTCGTCTGCCGCTGACAGTGGCAGTTGCAGTAAATAGTCAATAGCAATACAATTGCAACGCGCGCAACATTTCGTCTCGTCACACTGCCGCCGCGCGTCGCATCACATTGCCATTTGACTGACTAGCGCTCGTTGGCTGTTTGGCTTGGCTGCGCTTTACTATGAGTTATACATGTGTCCGCGTTCGGAGTCTAATTTCAGTCATTACCATAAACGGCAAGTTGACCACTTTGGTTATGCCTTATCGGCTGCCATAATAAAATAGGAACTAAAATAAAAAAGGAAAGAGCGCAATTTTTGTAGCTTTGTAAGCTGGCAAGCTGCTTATTAGAAGCTGGAATTCTTATTCAACATCAGTCTGTTCATTATGAAGTGTATGCAGACAGAAACGTGCCGAGCTTCTTGCTGCTCGTCGGCACAGTAGCAACAGGAACAGCAACGGCATACAGTCGAGCGCAGTTGAGCGCGTTTAACAGCAAAGTGCTTAGCCAAAGTTATTGTCAGTTGTGCTGCTAGTAATAATCATTGCCTTAGTGCTCAAGTCTTAAATTTGGCTTTAGTCTCAATTCCGCCATCGTCATTATTATGTATTAACGCTGTGTTAACAATAATTTCTGGCATTGCATGCGCTTGCGGTTGGAAGTCTAGTATAAATTGCATAATTTTTAATTGCCGCTTATTATAAATGTATATAGACATATCCGCATACAAGGGCTAGTCAAAACCAAGAAATTTTTAACGTGACACTGGCTGGCGCGCGCTTTTTTTAGTTTTGGTTGCGGTTGTTCAACTTGTAGGCGAAAAGTGTACTTGGAATTCGACTAACTTGAGCTTTAAAGGAATTATTAGCTCAAATTTTTTTATCTGAGATAATCCTTTTTGATTCGTTTTTGAAGTCCCACCCAATTTTATAGTAGTTTCGCGTCGGTATGAAGCGTACGAACGAATATGCATAAACATCAACAACAACATAATGACATTCAATAACACATCATCATTATGATTGCGCGCTATCCTTAGACTAACCATAAGTCATTGCAGCAAACCATTAACAATTGCGGCGATTTTTACGCTCCTCACAGCAAATTGAGCTTTAAATTTAGTCGCGCACTGCCAAACGATGAAGTGCTTAACCCATGAACGGCAGCTTACAGCGGCAACTGGCCGGCGGACGTAAGCGCTTAAAAGTTTGGCGAAACTAACGAGTAAGTTAGAATATGGGCACACACACACTCGCACACACATTTTTTTTTTTTTTGGGATTTCGATGATTTAGCTAAATCACTGTGCAAAATTCAATTTGGCCAGCGGCCAAGCGGAACGGCACAAGCACATACGCGCGGCTGAGTATTGCTGCCACCGACAACCGCACCGCCTTCTGCCCGCTATTGCAGACAGACGTGTTGTTGCTTTTGTGTTGCATTCTTGTTGGTTTGCCTCTGAGCGCCAGCTCGTCAGACAGTTGGTCAATAAGCAAATCGTCAGTTGCGTTAGCATGCAGGCGTACGGCCACTCCATGCCCATAATATTGGCCAAGCAGGCAGCTTATTTTGGTTAGAAGGTACAAGTATTTCAGTGAGCGATCAAGCGCTGCACATTGTTGTTAACAACATATCAACTTGGTCAGCGGCAACAAATGCTGATTAAGCAATTGTAATTCGTACTTGTATAATAAAAAGTAAATACCAAGCATCCACCCAGCTATCTATCAGCTCATGCGGCATTCTCAGGCAGCATTGCAACTACTACTAACCAAGTAGTCCCGCATATACGCTACTTATCACTACTGCGCTTGGTTTCATTGTTTGTTGCATTGTTCATACATATGCATGTCGTCATTATACATGTCGCTGTTGCCGTTGCCGCTTTAGCTACTGTCCAGCCTGTCCTGTCATTGTTGTTGTGCGCATTGCCAATTGTACACTTTTGATGAGCTTTTCATTTGGCAGTTGCCGATGACGGTAGGCGGCTGTCGACTCTCGACTGTAGTCTGTCGGCCATTGTTGACCGCTTCATGCCATTCCATATCTAATAATAAATTGCTCTCACCACTGCCGTTTTCGTCGCTGCAGCCAACGCCGAAGCGCACTCGAAAAGTTTGAATAATCATTCTCAATTTTCTACAACTCATCGTTTGTTAAAAATGTAATTATTTTACTTAAAATGGTTGTACTTTCGTGGCCTTTCGGGGCGTTTGTACGATTTGATGAGCATTGCCATGACAGCACATTTGCTTTGGCGAAATATAATTTATTGCAAAAATATTTCAATGTTGTGGCATGCTGCGGAATTTCTAGCGTTTATGGAAATCAATGAGCAATTTGTGCAAAGAATGTCTTTCTAAATTGAAAATGCTGATTGATAGGAGAAATACTCGTATGCATATGATTGTTTGTAGTGGAAATAATTACTGGAATTTAAGCAACTTGTGAAACGAGTGTTTAATGGAGACATTGTATTAACAGCTGGAGGTAGCTACTTACATACGCTTATATTCTATGGTATTTAGTAGCGCAGCAGTTTATAATCAATATTATTGAAATAAAAATTTAGGTCATTTATGACTATTATATTGCACCTTAAGACCATTTAACGACAATTTGTCTCTTGTTATTCGATAATTAGTTAATATTTTTTTGTTTTCCACATTTTCAGCCGCGTGCTGATACCTAACGTTGTTCTTCGCAAATTCGTTTGCGAAATGAAGACATATGAAAAACCAACCGGTATGTGTTTTGGCTTTTAAGCAGTAGAGCGCTACAGCGACATTTAATTTTAAATGTGTTAAAAAATATTTCGATTTATATAAACATCACTCTTAATGCTAGCAGCTTGCTTTTACGCACCGACGTACGGATATTTACAACTAAAAGTGATCAGGGCGACGGAAATCTGATGAAACGCAAGGTTGTACTAAAGTAGAATAAAAAAATTTACATTTGCCCGAAATTAATTGAAATTTGTTGTTGTAAAATAACATCGGAATAAATATTGTATTTGTATGTTTGTAATGCGTTTATATGCTTTATTATTATTTGGTAACTAATTTAAAATTACAGTTTTTCTGATTATTATTAAACAAATTCAATAGCCATAAACAAAAATATTTTTGCAAAAGTTTTAGGTATTAAATAAAAATAAATTAAATATTTCGTAAAACGTGAAAAATAAATTAAAGTCCATGAAAAATGTTTTTAATTTTTTCGAAAAATGAATTACTCTTAAATACTTGTATTATTTAATATACCATATACATATTTTATGAATTTTAATATAAAATTTTAACTAATAATAAGACATAATTTTGCAAAACATAATTAATACTTATATTTAAATAATTCAATAAACACGATGTAAACACTGCTTCATTCAATGTTCAGCTTCCGCCGCCATTTCAATCGGCGGTTGTCAGTTTCCGTTATGCGTGTGTGTTTACATTTACAACTGAACAGCTGTGTGTTCAAAAAATCAAATTGCTGCAAAGTATTTTAACGAAAGTGATAAGTGAGTTGTTTTGCTAATAAAGGAAATAGGCAATTGTATTTTATTTAAAAAAAGCATCAAATATATCGATTGCATATTAATTACATAAAAGTAAATGTTTTTAGCGAGCAAATGTGAGTGTGCGAAAAATGTGTATATAAAAAACAATTGCATGTGAAAAGTGTTAAATTTATTGCGTTAACTTATTACTAATTAAGTAATTTGTTATTTGTATAGTAGTGAGCAATAAGTTCTATAGATATTAAGCAAAAAATCAACGCCGGCGGTGTTTTTATACGGAAATTATGCGAAAATGTGTGTTAAGGGCCGGCGCAGTGGTTGAGCAGTAGTTGGTATAGAAAATTTTGAATGAAATAATATTGATGATCGAATGTTTTGTTAAATTTTAAATAGTGTTAAATATTATCTAATTAATTTGTGCATAAAATTGGTGCCGGCAGCATTTTTATTTGAAACACAAAGGTATAAACATACGAGCAAGTGTGTGCAATAAAGTTAATTTTTGTAAAATGTAAATGTTGATGTGTTAAATAATGGTGAAAAGCAAATTTTTAATAAATATGTTAAAAAGTGATGCATGCATTGTTTTAAAATAACACATATCATGAGTTTCAAATACAAATAAATACAATTTTGTACGTTGGCATTGTCCGCTGCTGAAGCATGTAAATAATGTCTATGAAAATTATTTGTAAAATAATATTGTTAATCAAGTATTTTGTAATTTGTTAAGCATATTGCGCAAAAAATTTATTCTGGCATAAGTTTTTCTACATTAATCAAAGTTGAGCATTGTAGGCTGACAAATGTTGCGAAAATCAACAAATTAATACAAATATTATTTTTGAGTTCAATATGATGTTGTAAATAAAATTCTTTGTGCAGTTTAAATTTAACATACATGTCATTAAATCAAAAGAAAAACAAAAAAAATATTTTGATGGTGTTTTTATATAATAATTTCGTTAGTAAAAGTTTATTACAGAATTTGTGGCGTAAAAAGCAGCAAACACCTAAATTTTGTCATAAATTGGTAAGTAAATATAATTTTTTATGTGTTATTTAATATTAAACAGCTGTCTTCCAGTGAACCACTCTACTTTTCTGATATTTTGATTAATTTTTTTGTTTTCGTTCCATTTTCCAACAATGTTTATTTTTAATTTTACGAGCAAAATATACATTAAAGAATACTTGGCAGAAACACACACATTTTCGCACTCAGTATGTAACATTTATGTATGAATGATGTGTTTTAATAAGTGCACATGCGAAAGTAACTCTGCATACACCCGGATATATGTTTACATGCATACTGTTGCACATACACCTAAGTTAGCTGGCGAGGGTGGTAACATACCTACCACCTTTCCACGAGCGCCTGACGTTTTAAGATTGTCGCAGCTGTTGCGCTTTCGCCCTTTTGTGGCGTGCCATCCGCTGCATTCCGCTTACTAGCAACCACGTTTTATTTTTATTTAATTCCTTTAGGTTTAACTTTTTTGCACATTTTTTATTTATTTTCAATTTAGCGCTTATATTTGGTTTATATTTTTCATATGCCCATTGGGTACTTTTCTGCTGATTTCATTTCTACCTACACCACTAGTCTACTTCTTATAGCTCTTTCGCCGTTTCACATATGCATTTTGCACATTTGGCTGAAACCACAGACAACTGTTGAACTCTGAACTTCTGATGCGACTTAGGAAAGTGAATCGAGAAGCACTGCTGTACTCACTGCCGCATGCAGCTAAGTTAAGCAGTGGTTTCATGTAACTGCGAGTGCAAGTGTACATATGTATGTATGTATGAATGTGCCCCTCGTTTGCATACGACTTGTTAAAGGCTGGTGGCTCACGTTTTCAGCTTCAAGTTAGACCTTTAATTATATTAGACGTAAGCAAATGCAGTAGCTTTGCATACCTGGTGGGTAGGTAATCACTACTCATTGGCCTATTTACCCGAAGTCATGACTTTGTTGACAGCGTTGACATTTCTACTGTACCGAAAGCAATCTGATTACGATTTAGAAGTGCACGAAGTAACGGGAAAAAATAAGTACGCTGTTGGAAAGTGCATTAATTAGTTATATTCGTAAACTTTGCTTAGAAATATATGGTTTGAAGAGTTTTGGGTGTCATTCTTAGTCGTAAAATATTGAAAAACTAAGTCGATTTTCAATGTCTTCAAATAAAATTTGGTCCGAAATGCTCGCATAAAATATACATCCTTCAATGTGGAGATTCACGTTCTCTTTTCGTTATCTGAATAATTTATAAATGAGATGTAAAAAGATCGTTTCAACTAAATCATTATCCGTGGAAGGTGAGGTGGAGACATCTAGATATTTATTCTCTACTTTCTTGATTTCGCTATACCTATAACTACGTTGAAGTATTCGTCAGACAGGACGTCGACGCTTTTTGCGAACCTTAAGAGCAACTTGATATCTAAGTTTGATACTTCGTCTATTCCTTTGAACTGCGAAGCTCTAAGATATTTTAAAGGATGTAAACGGCGTTTCGCTCATGACTGCTTCTCTACACTTTCTGCATGTATCGTTGTTACTTATACTTATCCGGCTCGCATGTGATGCAAGTAAGTTGTGACATGTCAAGAGGCCAACAACCGTGCGGCAGTCCTAACGAGAGCGTGTGATTAAAAAGCAATCGAGTTTTCTTTCGATACTCTTGCACATGATCTTGGCGATCCTGCATGCACTTAAGGCATTCCATTTCGCCCCTATCCGCCTGTCAGCCCTTTCGCAATTTTCGTTGTATACGAGACCCAAGCTAACTTAATCTCATTATTCAAATTTGACAATCAATTTTTATTGTTTTTGTTTTGAAATTCGACATTACTTTTTTAAATCGCCAATTTTCTTATCTATCTTTTCTTTTTTAATTGTGCTCTGCCTCTAGGCAGGTTCCCTAGTAGAACTATTTGTTCACAAGCAAACATATACTGCAATGCTACAAAGTTGAAAATTTACATCGAAACTATATCGCTAACAAACACTAGAATCACCTCTCAAGTATTTGCTAATTAATAGTCAAACTGCCAGAGTTTTTTTTATTTCGAAACCTATGTCAACTGTTACACGATTTCTTGGCATGTTTAGACATTAAATTGACGTTAAGCTTTATTTGACTTATGTGTATACCTCGTAATATCAGATTTATGACTTTGCTTTGGAAAAGTTTTACGAGTCACATTTGTTGTTAATGAAGAGCAAACAGGACACACAACATTGTTGCAAGTAGCAAATAAATACAAATTGACATTCAAAATAATGTAAATTAACACGTCTTCAAGACAGCTGGATTTGTGGGATACATTTCAAGCCAACGCAGACGTTTGAGTTTGCTGGACAGCCGACTTATTCGTCTGCTAAGGCAATTAGCTTAGCAAAGTGTATGCAAAATCTTTCATTTAGTACCGTTATCATGTTATAGTGCTGGTCAAAACATGAGCTGTGGCTCAAAAATACTGGGTGCGCACTTGGACATTCCTGCATGACGTGACATAATTCACGCAAATATGACAATATCAAAACGCGCAATGAGGACGCGCTGCAATAATGCAAGCGCATTACGCTCGCATGCAGTGCAGCGTAGCAACATTAAACTTTATTGCTTGCTCTTCTACGTTGTATGTACCATATGTTGTCATTTGCGTGCTCATTGCATATTACTTGCGCGATTGTGAATGACAAAATCGTATTTAATGCTAAATGACAGGTCGGTGCACATGACGCATGCGTAAGTGGCCGAACAAGTGCAGGCGTTTAGCCGAGTCGTGCAAATCGCTGGTGGCTAACATTTCTCGCTTACTATTTTCATAGTCTACAATGACACATTGCTGGCAGACATTTGCCGACAGCGGCATCAAATGCGGTTAAAACACCCAAAGCGTACTGTGACGCGGCGACTATAATTGTTGTCGCCAACATCGCGTGAACAAGCTGAAAAACGCACAAAAATACGTTGCATATGCATTTATTTAACTTTGCTAGTGCGATTTGCAATGTTCGCTTGCGCGCTGACCGAACGCCAAACGTCAGACATAATGACGTTATCGACTACCTTGGCTTAGCGCCTCATTCATAATGATGATATTACACGTCGACCTGCCAAATAGAACGCTGTCGACAGTTGCTTAGCTTTAATCCTAATAATCTAATGTGTGAGGTTCGCCTGTATTCGCTTGGGGTGTACGCCGACTTTCATACAAATGTGCGTGCGACAAATGGCGAGCGCGCGTGCGTGGGTAGATAATCGTTGCGCTGTCAATTGACGCATTCGCAGACAATTAGACGTTTGCTTGACAGCCAGTTGGCTGCGAATTGATTGTTATTTATGTAATCGTTTGTTAGCTGTTTGCTGCTTGTAA